ACGAGATCCGCTCTGCGTCTGAACAGACACATTTAGTGGATTTAAAAAAATCTTGAATCTGCTGCTATTGGAACATATGACTGAGCGTAAAGCGTGATTTATAATTAAGATAGTCAACTTGTTTTCCCTAAACAAAATAAAACAGCAACGTAATTAATTCACGATAGGATGAATTTAAAGCGGTGGACAAGAATAGGATGGACTTTGTATAAACACTACCCTGGCCACCGTGGCGCCCCTCGTCGCAGTGGCTAGGAGATGTTAACTACCTCGCCTGGTATACAGGAGTACGTGAGTTCAATCTCAATCCTGACACCTGTATATTTGGAGTTTGCATGTTCTCCCCGTGGTTGTGTGGATTTTTCTCCGGGTCCTCCGGGTTTTATAGACATGCGTTTAAAATATTTGGCGTATCTACATTTCTACATGATAAGCCACTTCTGAAAAAGATCCATATAACGCAGTAAGGCCTTACCTGGTAAAATAAAATATATATGTCGATGTACCTTAGAAGAGAGTTTTCAATCAGTAAGTATTGCCCACTCTGACAATACGGATCGGAAACATGGATACTAACAAAGTAGCAGAACAATTAAAAAGCTAATAAGGAGATTTGCATCATTAGGTTTGAGAGATAAGAAAGAGGAGCACATGGATCATCAAACAAACACAAATCAGAGATGTCACGTTGACTATTAAGAACACAAATCAAATCTGTAAATAACGATTTAAAAAATCCCGTATCATAACAGAAGAATGGTGCAGACTGAAAAACTACAAGTTTTAAACAACCCACAGAAACGCGTACAAAAGGCACTCAGCCTTCGGGCACTATGCAAAAAGAAATCTTCAGTTCCTGACAATGTACTTGCAACTCTTCGGGAACTGCTAAATGGTGTTTTCATGCTGCATGAAAGGCATGCTCGAGTGCGTTGTTTGAAGCACTTGGAGGTTTACCCTGGGCTTTGGCAGGAACACATCTCCAGGGGACTTAGAGCCCCAAGGATGAGGCTGGTGATGAAATCTCAGCAGAATGAATTAACGACCCCGAGTGGATTGATGCGCCCTGAAGATGCGGCAATGACTTAAATTCAGTTTATATGCAGCATGAGATGAATGGTAGCAGTCGCAGGATCATTAGAAATTGAGGACTTCATGAGAGAGATTATCAGCCAACAGTGGATAGAACGCCTACAACAGTTTAATTCAGCCCTGGGAGTGACCGTGCCCACTATAAGGACTTCCCCTGGCCATCATTCATTTTTATTGATGGGGTTTTATGCAGGCACGAGGGTGGTTCGGGGGGAATGGGGTTCTTGAAGAATTACTTATCACAAAGGGAGTGAGATGGATCGTGATAGTATTGCAGAACCGTGATAAATGTTTATGGCATACAACAACCTTCATCAAGCAGTGGATAGACAATGGCTGAAAAGAGCTTTCCGATGCATCATCGGGTTGTGACGCAGGTTTGTCGATGTGTTGTCCAACGTTTCACCCTATGTGCTGGGAGCTTGTTCAAAACATGAACACGAACGGACAATCATCATCATCACGATGAGTTCGATCCAGACCCTGGCGCCCACTGCTGTATATTTGGAATTTGCATGTTCTCCCCGTGGTTGTGCGGATTTTCTCCTGGTCCTTCGGGTTTTCCCTCCACATTGATGAACATGCTTTAGAGTATTTGGCTGCTATAAACGTTCACGTGATCAGCCACTTTGTTGAGCTGTCGTTTGTGGCCAGGTCGCTTCTAAAAAAACGAGCTACATAGCTCGGTGGGCCTTACCTGCTAACATTTACAAAAAAAAACTAGTTTAGTTTATTTGTATTCGATTGTCCGTTAGAACTGCGATCTTTTTTTTCTCAACAGGAGAGTGTTCCTGTTACACGGTTCCGTCGCCGTGCCAGGCATGTTTATATATATATACGCACGTCACTGATACACTGCAACAACAAATAGCGCACAAGCGTCACACCTAGATGGTTTTGAACAAGAAATGACAACCGTGCGCTGTGGCGGGTGAAGGATGGGCGGGGGATGTTGTAAGGCAAGGCAAACGTTGCCCATCCCCATCCGAGAGCGTCACAAAATTCAGACCCATTTTTTGCGATGATAAACTTCGCAATCTTTACCCATCTAAAAGGAGAAAAACGCGTTTGTCACAGTGAAGGGTAATCGGTAGGCAGGTGGGTCGGTAAGAATTCGTGCGCAAAAGCCCCCAGGGATGAGTTGAAAACACGTCGTCCGTGCGTACGTGCTTCGCGTTTACGAACCACACCCACGAATAACTCCCCCCCCGCCACCGCTACCCCAGCCAAACCCAACTCCACCCCACCACTACCGGTGGCGAACCTTTTGTATCTTCTCCTGTGTACTCCATTTCATTGGCAGAGGTCACGCAGTGATGCACTCCAACAGCCCCCCTCCCCTTCCAATAAAGTCTCGCTTTTATTTGTTTTGTTGGTAGTTACCATGGGGGGGGGGAGGGGGGTGGGGTTTAACAGTTCAAGAACCTGTACAGATTTATTTTCGTGTCAATTATTCTTTTGTCTGGTCGCATATCTCAAGAGATGCAGCTGATTAAATAAAAAAAGACAGTTTATAATTTATTAATAAATGCTGTGTCAGATATGGTGTTCTGCGTGCGTGCGGCGCAGAGCAACTTTGTACGAATCCTGGTTCGCCTCGCTTAATGCGGGTTCGGTCTGTGCGATTTGGCGTAAATGCGACAAATATATTTCTACCCAAAATTCGCTGTAATACGCGGTTCCAATTCACTCGGCTATGCGATGGGATGCGCATGCTCTCCTCTGCAGGCAGCCGTATCTCCCTGCGATTTTGCTTCGTGAGCCCTTGTTTTCGAAACGCATCTACCGCATACAATGAGGGAAACGTCTATGAATTGGTAAAGTGGCGGGTGACACCTTCCACAATACGGTATTTGCCGATAATGTATAGAGCATTTAAAACAATTGCCATACGGCCCTTTGTCAATCTACTGCTGGGTGTGGCACCTTGAACCATGTCGGTCAAAGGGATTGTTTAACCATATTTCACCACTGATCAGTGCCGGTTGGTGAAGATAAGACTCGCCACCGATGATAGTTTAGGTCGCTAATTTCATAGCAGTGCGCTAACCACTGTGCCACTGCTCCAGGCTTGAATTTCGATATCGGAAAACTAGTCCACGCTTAAGTCAATTTTCTACAATCACTGTTAAGATATACATGATGAATAATCGTCACGTGTATGTTATCACAGTGCGGTGTATATACACGCACACAAACACACAGCCTGCATGTGTGAACATACTTTTTTTCCAATACCCTGTAAATATATATACATGCTTGTGGACAATGCATTTCTTTATTTGCATCTCCTGCTTCACGATTATTTATTCCGTGATAAACCGGCGTGTGTTTGCCACCGGATCGAGAGAAAATCCCGAGGCATCACTTTGCTCCAAATCGAGCATCCAAACCCAACAGGGCACACTCCCACCTTGGGGTGGTTCGCGGGATGTAAACGCGTGGAGAGGCGCACGGCCATGCTCGGGGTTGTTTGACCGTCTCTTCTATCTCAGGAATTTCTTTTGTGTGTGGGTAAGAACACGCGGGATTTCCCAGGGAAAGAGTTTCAAACCGGAACGGTCCTAAAAACGCTCGCAAGACGAGACGAGAGTCGCTCGCCCAACAACCCCGATTACATTTTGATTTAAAGCTTTCGTGACTGCAGTAATTCATATTCTTAATTTTTTCGGTAAAGTCACGTTGAAGGGAAACAACAAGAATATGAGAATATGAACCCCGATTACGTTCAGTGCGTTCGCATTCAGGAAGCCACCTTTTTTTCTCCCCAGTGGGTGTCTGACATGAAGTGAGTTTTTTTTTTATATTTACATAGATCCAAACAAAATAGCGGCACATGCTTACTACTAGGACTATTGCCCGAGACGTTTACTATATACATTTCTTTTATTTTTAAGCTACTGTGGGGTTATTTTTTTACGAGTGTGTTGAGGGTTGCTATTTGTGATTGTGCATCGACGCAGCAACAGCGGCAGCAGCACAACATAACTCGTCTAAATAAATCAAACTACAGTATCCAATAAACACATGCAACGTTGGCCCAACATTGGCCCATAGCTTCCAACCACATATAAGGTTGCATGATTGCTGGGTGGTTTGTTAAGTAGACAAATTATTTGGGCATAAATTAATTGCCACTTTATAATTTACAGACCTGCGTTCAATCCGCTGCTGGACGAGGACCTCACCATCAGACGCCGTGTCAGTCGTGATGGGTTGTATGACCATACTTCACCAAGCTGGTCGGTGGAGGTTGAGGATGTGGCGTTGATGCGGAGGGAATGGACGGGGAGGCCCAGAACCGGTTCAGATATCACTCGCCACTGATGTGTGTTATACTTGGACGGGAATCTAACTATACAGGACTGGCACAGTCAACAATCACAACGGCGTGAATGCAAAGGGGCTTCTCCACATGTTTGACACCGTGAGCACGTGCACGAACTCATGTTGACTCAGCCTCAAATGAGTACCAGGCGCGATCTGTAAACATCGCCATGAGAGACAAAAGCGACCGCGCGTTGATGCTGGTCACCCACCCACTTCGTGTGCAGCCCCGGCCTTCATCAGTGCTCTCTTACACCAACTTGCCCCACAGGTATGTTAAGGCTATACGGGGGCACCTTTGTCATTTGACGAACTCATGACTTACAACACGCCGTCCAAACATATCGCCATAAACTACGTATGGTGTTCCATCCTCTTTGCCATGGGCGCTCCGAATGAAATTAGGGTTTCTATTTGTGGAATGCAGGCAAGCAGGTTGGTCTTACAATTAGCCACTGGTGGCGCATGTGATAGTTGTTGGCGATGCACATTGTGTAACACCACCCCCCCCCCCCCAATCTGACGTACAAGGCAGGGTGCGGTGACTTGTTCTGGGTGGGGGTGGGGTCAGATGCCTACAAAAGCAACAGCGGGCACAGGCTGGCTGTTGATATCTCGCTGATGAGCTACTGGCAAAAAGGATCTCCAGCATCCGTTTTGTTTTCTTGGGGAAAGGCGTTGTTAGATTTAATATTTCTCTGCCATCGTCGTTAACGTCTCAAGTGCCCGGCGTTTCAAGTCAAGAAACCGCAGCAACGTCTGTTGCCCTGTAAGTTGAAGTTCTACTTTATTAGGACGGTCAGAGTTGCTGAGAAATACATATATATTTGGTAATGATTGTATAAACTTGGAGATCGAGTGTTTTTATTTGAATTTGTTATCTTTATTTGCAGGTTCACTGCTGGTTGGTGTTCCTATAACTTTTACAATATTTAGTTTGCTTTTAAATGGTTTCAATGCCTCTTGTAAAAGCCGTCCGTCGTTTAAAATATATATGAATTGTTTTGCCTGTCTAACCACTTTTTTATATACAGGCAATATTTAGTAAGTTGAATGCTTGTAATTCATTGCGTTAGATTTTCTATTTGCTAGCCGAGCTTGTTATAAGGCCTGGGTTTGCTCAAGGCATTTTTTTCATTACAAACTGTAAAGTTGCTTATCAGATATGACAAGTTTAATGTTGACTTTGGGGGAGGGGGGTCCGCATACAACAGTTGTAGAAAGTGAAAAGGTACACAATAAAATGTATATAAACGTCAAAACTACTGCTGCTATTTTTATCTCGAGTGATTATTATTTGAGTAGCAATTACAGTTTGTGGAAAATAGTATTCAAGTCGCGCAACATTTAAGTAATGCTAGCCGGCAACGCAGAAATATAATCTACTAAACTCGCGTGGTAGGGGTTCACTAACTATGCGCAAGAAAAGGGAAATTCTAAATCAAGGAAGGAATTTTGAAAGTTTTTTTTTTATAACTAAAACAAATTACCTTAATGTCAAGTGAAAGATTGCTCCTTATGGATAAAAAAAAATCTGTTTTAACAGCGCGGCCGAATTTGCGTGGTTCACTCTTTGTGTTTTATCAATCGTGCTCATGCTTGTTGGGAAAATTTAAATAAAAGGTGTTAATGCAAGTGCGCATGTGTGGGTAAATTGAGCGATAATGTGTCGGTTAGCGCGCTGTGCTACGAACTCGGCGGTCCGAGTTCGATTCCCGCTCAGTGATGATTATCTGAACCGGTCCTTGGCCTCTCCCCTAGGTCTACTCGGCCGCAAATGAGTACCTGGTGCAGTGTGTAAACATCGCCACTGGGTAGACAAAGAGGACCGGGCGTGGTGCAGGCCACCCACCCTCTCGTGTGCCGTGCTCTATGTTAAAGCTATCTTTGGGGTATTTTTGTCTTTGTAATTTACATTAAACAGTTACTTAGACACTACTGTGTAAACATTCCTATCTGGACAACTTGGTGTTTATATATTTTGCGAAAACGTGAGACCGCATTCCCATTGTGGGAATGATACCCATGGTGTTTCTTGTTTAAATATATTAAGCACGCTTTGCAATTTGTACGCGGTGTTTAAACGCCAATTATAAAATCGCGAACGAAAATGTGTGCAAACGATGGACACGCATCGCGGTTTGGAATGGTTTTGTGGAAAATAAAATAAAATCTGCATCGGGGACCTGCGACTTGCGGCCCCGAAGCCACATGCAGCACTTTAAGGACCGCTTTGTAACGTCTATTTATTAAGGACCGTCTCGAATTCGCGTACATTGTATACACATCTTCTTTGGGTCTTTCGTTAAAGTCACGTAGATGGGGATTTTGAACCGATCTACTTGAAATACCTAAAGAATATGAATTCCTGCAGTCACGAAAGCTTTATATACACATCGTACATACACTATTGAAGGGGGGTTGTTTTTTTTGTTCCCGAATTTGATTTTTTTTGGTTGCCGATCCATGATCCGGTCCGATCGTGACGACTAATGGTAATTGTACGCAGAGTGAGTGTAATCGAGATGAATTAAACGTCTGCAATGCAGTTAATACTCTTTGGTTCTTTCGGTAAAGTCACATAGGCATGAAAAAAATGTAAAATAAATAAAAAATGTTATACCTACATGACTTTACCGAAAGAACCAAAGAGTGGATTCCTGCAGTCACGAAAACTTCAAATCTAGAATGCAGTTAGTGCATCGTATTGGCGTATCCCCTTGGTGTAAACGATTTAAATGCGTCCCCCTAGCCAATTATTTTGTAGCCCAGCGCCTTTGGCTTGTAGGTCGCGGTGCACGTATTACCACCTCCACACGCTCTAGTTATACACCAATGGTACAATGATTTAAGAAAATTAATCGTCGACAGAAGTCTGTTACGGAGAGCAGAGGTAGATTCCTCTTGAACAAACATGCACATCGGGCTTTAAGATCTTTTAGTAGTTGTGGTGCCTATGCAAACTTCTATGCAAATCCTTAATTGTAGGGCGTCTCCTAACACTGACCATTTGCATTTCACATAATAAAGGTGTGGCGTTTTCCTCTTTCAATGACCTTTGGTTGAGGGTAAGTGTTACTTAACGTTGTGTGCATCTATTCAGACCTACTGATCCTGCCTGAGATTAGGCCCGAAATTTAAGAGGGGGTAAAGCTAGGAAAACAACAGGTCCGGGCAGTTTAGATCACTTTTATGGGAATACTTATTGTACGTTCCAAGGTGTTTGATCTTTAAAACAATTTGTGCACGTGTTAATTATTGCTCGCTTATAAGAGCGCTTGCCCCCCTAACGGTTTGTATAGTTATAGGGGGAATGGCTGTCCCTGATTACGAGCCTGGGATGTTACGCTTGTTTCTCCTGCGAAAGGGTTGCCTTAAACAGATCTAATCGGTTACATATCCGGTCTACAAGAACATGAGACTGATAACACGGATTAACATTGATCCTGAAATATAAAAGTAACTACTGCTTTTAATCAACCATTAAAATGGCCAAAAGTGATATATAATATATATTTTTTTACAAGCATCTGGGAGGACTAAACTAATGGAAAAGTATAAGTCGCAAAGGGACAAATCTGAACTGGCGGGAGAAATAATAGCGACTGCAAATATTTTTTACGCCTAAACAAATGTTATAATTTCCCAAAATAGTTCATTGAAATCTGAAGCTTAAATAAATAAATAATGAACAATAGCTTCATTTTTTAACCTGGAAGAGCCAAATGATACCAGACGCCTAAAAAAAAGACCTGCTTTTAAACAAGTATAGCAAGCATTTCCAAGGTTATCTAGATTGGTTTATTTCCAGATAACAAGGCTGTCCTCTACTTGACATTGCTATTAAACATTGAGCGTTGAAAGTACGTAGTGTTGTTAAATGTGTACCGTACTAATAATGTTCAACACGGCAAAAAAAAATGTTCAACACCTTTTATCAAGCGACTTCTGGGTGAAGGCCTCCTTGTGCCGTGTTATCGATACTGTTTAACCATTGGGGCCATCGATTTAGTAGGTACGCAAAAATCTGTCAACTAGACCCCTCTCCCCATTCTTGTACGCACGCGAACTTTTTACACAACCGCCCCCCCCAACCTGCGTACGTACATACGCTTGACGCCCCCCCCCACCCCGAATCCTATAGAACGGCCGATATTTAATCCACGCGGAAACGATCAAGGATGAATAACATTAACGTGTTTAAGCAAACAGCCCACCGCCGGCTGCATTACATAATTAAGTCGCGTAACTTGGCCACTTATTTAGCCGAGCTGCGTGATAGCTGCAGTCGGGGGGGGGGGGCACGGTGGCACACGAGTGACACCTCTCCCACAGTCCCACTTCTAGTACTTGTCGTCTCACAGCTGAAGACGCTGAACTGTGGCTCATTTGAAGGCCAATGTAGACAAATTATTATCGAGGCTTCACACCCCCCCCCCCATTTCCTATGCGTACATTGTCAGTAGACCCCCTCCCCCCATACGGAAGCTACGCATTTGGGTTAACCTCCGACCCTCCATGCGTACGTACTAAATGGATGGCCCCTATATTTCACCACACGGGTCGGTGTTGATTTGGTGAATGTGTCTGAAGTTGGTGGGGAGTGGGGGCACGGTGGCACGGTGGCACGGTGGCACGGTGGCACGGTGGCACGGTGGCACGGTGGCACGGTGGCACAAGACCAGGTCGAATAACAGCCACTGATGTTTGCCATGGCCAGGAAATCGGTCATGTTTGCTACGTAATTGTGAAGTGTGCTAACCACCGCTCCGCCCCATCATTACGACCGTGTCCTAAAGCGGTTTATTTTTGTTCATATGTCAGGGAGACGACTAACAATGTCCGTTTCACAAATACAAAGGAGGCATAGCAGTGATTTCCCGCACCTCCCAATTAGTACGTTTTGGCTGCGGTGCGGTGCCCAATAAATCCCACATACGGTACGTGCATACACTTTGCTACTTCTGACGCAGTTATCTGGCTCCTTAACCACCACAATTTAACATTCAGTTGCTCTACTTCTACAACAGCCATACAAAGAAGACCGATTGAATGTCCTATGTAGGCCTGATTGAGATTGATTCGGCAACCAATAAAGCTTGCGAAACCAAAAGGGTCCCTTTTTGGTCTGAGCCCACCAATTTTCCAGCTGTCTTTACCACCTTCAGGTGGCATAAACTTTAGTGGTTGCAATTTATTTACGTGGACCAATAATATGTTAACCACGTGAGATGAGTAACTTATAAAAAAAATAGCTCGCACGTTTTTTTTGGCCGTATAAATTGATAACTACGAGAGAGAGAGGCGCGCTATCTCAGTGTGTTAACGAATTGTCTGCTCTGGCTCCCGGTAATTATTGTGCAGTGCAACAAAACATGACCAAAAGAGGGCGGCGTGCCTCCCATTCTAGATTTGAAGCTTTCGTGACTGCTAGGATCCATACTCTTTGGTTCTATTGGGTAAAGTCACGTAGGTAAAAAAAATACAATAACAAAAATCACGACGTTTCGGCCACAACACAAGCGGCCTTCATCAGGTGAAGGGACGAGACTGTCTGGAGGACAGCGCTGGAGTAAAGGTCCGCGGTCTGAGCGTGGTTGTGTTTCGCAAAATTCTCCTGTTTGATTTGTACTAGGTGCCTCGGTGAATGTATATGCTCTGACTTTAACATAGCTATTTCTGTGACCAGTTACATGCTAATCACTCAGCCATTTCAATGCTAAATTCTATGCTAATTCCTTTGTCAAGGCGCTTTGTTTTCTTCTCACACAGCTTAAAGGTCGTGATCTGAGCGTGACTTTTTTTCACTCCAGCGCTGTCCTCCAGTCTCGTCCCTTCACCTGATGAAGGCCGCTTGTGTTGTGGCCGAAACGTCGTGATTGTTATTTTATTTTTTTACCTACGTGACTTTACCCAGTAGAACCAAAGAGTATGCCTCCCATTGTTTTAGAGACCGTCACCGTGTGTGCACGGAGCCCGGAGAGACGATTTTAGTCAAATAGTGAACGAATCGGCGACCACCAACTTGAGGATATTTTTTTTTGGTCAAGTGTCAGCCTGTGGACGAAATGGTACCAATTCTCCTTAGTTTATCCGTAATATTTAAAAAAAAACCTGTTATGGATAGTATTCGCGAAAGGGCCCTACGTGTTTGTTAAACCTCGGTTTAGTCGACTAAAGCGGTAAAACATCGAGTCCTACGCTCGGTTATTAAATTATTGGGGCGAATGGCGCACCATTATCACCCCCCCCACCACCACTACCAATATCTCGAGGGCCATAAATTGAACACAATCTTTTGGACACATCGTACGATTGTACATTTGAAAAAAAAAACAAATGTTCTTCGTGGCTACGACTTTTAACAATTCCTTGGATTCCTGTCTGCCTGGCCGGCGCGCGAAAGCGCGTGCGCAGGAAATGACGCCACCGCGCACGTTTGCGCGATGACGTCACCACCATCTCACGTCGTTGAGCCGCGTCCGTGCGTGGTGACGTCATGCCTCCCCCCCCCCCACATTACTCCAAACCCTGCATTGAATTTACGCGCGTAAATTGGCGGGACAGCAATAATTAATATTCTATGGGGGGGGGGGGGGGTTTGTCGGTAAAGTCACGTAAATAGAAAAAAAATATAACAATAAAAGAATACAAATATCACGACGTTTCGATCGCAGCGATATTTATTTTTTTTCCTATCTACGTGACTACCGATATAGCCATAGAATATGCACTCCGTTAGACAAAAGTTTGGCTGGCTGGGGAGCGGGAGGGCAGTGAGAGTCTCGTCCCAAAGGACTGTGACGAGACGTTGACTACCTCGGCTTGTATACAGGAGGACCTAAGTTCGAACCCGACCCTGACGCCTGCTGCTGCTGCTGTATATATTTGGAGTTTGCGGTGTCTCTCTCTCTCTCTGTCCCCGTGGTGGTCGTGGTGTGGATGCTTATCCGGGGTTTTTTTTTCACCTCCACATTTAGAATCAACGCGCGTTTAGAGTTTTTATTTGGCTGCTATACATTTCCACACGATAAGCCACTAAGTTGAGATGTCATTTGTGGCCAGGTCGCTTCTGAGAAAATAGTTTTTTTATATATATATAGCTCAGTGGGCCTTGCATGGTAAAATAAAATGAAACATTTGTTTTAGTTTAAATAGTTTACTTTTATATATATAATTATAATCGTTGACCTACCTCCGGAGTTCCGTCTCTGCTGTGTTAAGGTGCATACCTGCAATTGTTTGCCGAGGCCACTGCCGAAGAACTATAGCGAGCTGTTGGCCTACTCGTCCACGTTGATTCGATGTGCGATGTGGTCCTTGTTACGCATCTAGTTAATGTGTGGTTTTTTTTTGGAAGAGGTGGGCCTACCCACACTTTACCCCCCACCATACGACCTGCCGATCGATTGTAACAGGCGTTGGCTGTATACTTTGCGGCTGAGTGGGGATGGGCATTTTAACTTTTCCCCCAATTTGTTTTAACTCCCGTGCCGGGAGATGGAATCAAACTTGGGCCCTATCTCTGGGTTTTCAAGGCCATTTTTCGGTGGTTAGGGTCATCAAGTGATCGTCGCTGATATTGCTTTTGCCACTGATGTTAGCCGTGGCCAGGAATCCCAACTTCGGGTCACAACAGTTACACAAGTACTATGCATTTTTTTTTTTTTTACACACGGTGACCTTGTTAAAAAAAACAAAGCGTTCAACTTTCATTTCATGAAGCAAATGTGTCGGTTTTTTTATATGGTAAACACGGGGCACTCATTGCATATGCTTTTGTGAGCAACTATTAAGTCCCATAGTCCAAATTTTGATGGCCAGAGCTAAATCGGCCATTTGCGAAGCTCGATGGATGGGATCTTAAAACATTTTTCTTGCGCCTCCTTGCCCTCATTTTAATTGCACTTTTTATTTGCGAACGTTTCGTTTTACAAATGTTAAATGCCCTGCGCAATATTCCTTAAGAGCACCCTGGTACGCCTTCTCTGCAATATCGATGGTTGTTATGCTGCGCGCAACGGATCTGCCTTGTATAATAGCCAAGCAACTGCCAAACATGCATTTAAAATTTTGTTGCCAGAAAAAAGGGGAAAACCTATTCTCATATTTTGGTACTGGCAAAGGAAGTCGCATGATGTAGCTGCTCACCCCAAGCTCTCATTGTCTTTGTGCTGTACGACTTTTGGCGTCCTCTGGTCTAACACCGTTTGCGACGAGGCTCCAAAGAATGCTGTGTGGACCAATCGGCTTCAAAGACGATGCATATTATCCGTTTTTTGTTTGCATTCTGACCACAATATATTGTGGTCAATGCATACACGATTCCTTGTAAAAGGTTTCAGTTTGGTGTTTTAACATCTTAACACCTGCGTTTGTTGCCAGAAAAAAGGGGAAAACCTATTCTCATCCTTTAAAGTTTGTCACGAATTGGCATGTTCTGTTTACGTGACCAAACCTGGTGGTGGCGGGTTTAACGACCCATGTATATTTGCGCGCTCAAACACAACAACAAAAAACCTTGTATTATCAACATTTAAACTTCACTGCCTCGACTGGAATATCCCAGGTTTACAGAGGCAGCCCTGCAGCGGGTCCGGTCAGCATCTTCGGCCCACGTGCTCACCCCGACCGGGCTTTATGATAACCGCCAAAATAGCAATGGGGACATTAAATGAAGCCTTGTTCTTTCCCCAGTGTGTGGCATTGCAGATTCATCTGGTGTTGCTTCACAACGCGAATAAAGAAATGAAGGCGATCGAAGTATTCGGGCTCTACATCGTGTTCATTATTTTTCCTCTTGGACACTGTAAGTACCTTGCACATGAAGGGGGGTGGGTCTTTCGATTGACCATTTTTGTTTAATTTGACAAGATTTTGTCTTCCTTCAAATTAGCTTTCACTGCACAAACCCCATACTGACCAGTAAAAGTCCTGGTAACTCCTATGACAATGTTGGCTTTGGGAGGGAAGGGCACAGATGCCTTTGCCACTAGAGGCTACTACGTTCACTAAACAAAACCATAATCTTTTTCAATTGAAACCGTGACAATTCCTCGCTGGGGGAGGGGTGATGTTTCTTGCCCCGGTAGTAAAATTTATTTTACCTTTTTTAAAGCAAAGCGCTTGTTGTAAATTGCTCTTGTGACCATTTTCATTTGATTGAATCATCTTTATTATTTGTTTTGTCATGCATTTGAGGGTTTGCTTCAACTCAATTGGTAGGTAAACTTTTTTTTCTGCGTAAAAATGTTTTCCCATGTTTTAAACTATTCAGTTTTATTGCAAATCTTAAGCCTTGATAAAAAGATAATTTTAACTAATTTTCAACATTGTGCCAGTTGCATTAACATTCTCCCCTGATACACAATGGTCTCTTACCATGTTGAAATAAAGTAAATATAGGGTGGTTGTGCCAGCATCATTTAAATTTGTCTCTAATATACAATTCTTCCACATTGAACGACAGACTGCAGAAAAAGAAACAAGTATTAGAGAACAAACACAGCGCTGATATGAGAAACTAAACTATAAACTAATTTTATTTTACGAGGTAAGGCCCACAGCTATGTAGCTCGTTTTTCAGGAGCAACCTGGCCACAAAATGATCGCTCAATGAAGTAGCTTATGTGGAAATTTATAACATCCAACTACTCTAAAAGCATGTTTCTGAATGTAGAGGGATGAACCGGAGCACCCAGCGAAAATGTGCGCGGCTACAGGGAGAACGTGCAAACTGCAAATGTAAACAGCCGTCAGGGTTGGATTTGAGTGGCTAGGCAATGGATAATGATGTACAATTCTAGCATGTCCGCATGTGTTTTACTCGTAGTTTCTAGCAAATGCTTCAGAAAAGGATATGTAACAATTGCTTCAGAATTTAAATAAGTAACAAAAATGTTTATTCCCAATTCGATGTTTATTCTAAGGCTCACAATGTGTTTCCATTTCTTATTTGTGGTGTGAGCAATTGTCACAACAACGACCATTGCGTTTACCAAAGTGTAAAAAAAAATTACTACTGTTCCTGATTTTGTGATGGATCGCTTCGTCACTTGGGCAAGTTATCACACCCCAAGTATTAAGCGTATAAGATTTAGCACAGTATTTTTTGAGTAATGCCTTGTTTTTATCAACGTTTTCTAAATTAAATTGCCATTTTCTATTTTTTTGTTCCAGTGCAAAACGTAACAATATCTCCATCTGCAAATCTAACTAATAGCAACTCCACCATAGCATCAACACAGTATAATACATCCGTATCATTTCTTCCAAACAATGAAACTTGGAATGCTACATCTGCCGCACCTATAAATGGTTCAGCAGTAGCCATCACAACGTCGCCAGCAACATCGTTGCAACCCAATGGAACGGTGACATCAAATATTTCAGCTGTGAACAGTTCTATAGAAACATCAACATCATTAAATGCAACTTCTGCACCATCAAGCCTTTTTCCCAATGAAACGGTGAACGGTACATCCCCTGCTCCTCCATCAGCACCGGCTCCCAATGCAACAGTGAACGGTACATCCCCTGCTCCATCAGCACCGGCTCCCAATGCAACAGTGAACGGTACATCCCCTGCTCCTCCATCAGCACCGGCTCCCAATGCAACAATGAACGGTACATCCCCTGCTCCTCCATCAGCACCGGCTCCCAATGGAACAGTCAACGGTACATCCCCTGCTCCTCCATCAGCACCGGCTCCCAATGCAACGGTGAACGCTACATCCCCTGCTCCATCAGCACTGGCTCCCAATGCAACGGTGAACGGTACATCCCCTGCTCCTCCATCAGCACCGGCTCCCAATGGAACGGTCAACGGTACATCCCCTGCTCCTCCATCAGCACCGGCTCCCAATGCAACAGTGAACGGTACATCCCCTGCTCCTCCATCAGCACCGGCTCCCAATGCAACAGTGAACGGTACATCCCCTGCTCCATCAGCACCGGCTCCCAATGGAACAGTCAACGGTACATCCCCTGCTCCTCCATCAGCACCGGCTCCCAATGCAACGGTCAACGGTACATCCCCTGCTCCTCCATCAGCACCGGCTCCCAATGCAACGGTGAACGGTACATCCCCTGCTCCTCCATCAGCACCGGCTCCCAATGCAACGGTCAACGGTACATCCCCTGCTCCTCCATCAGCACCGGCTCCCAATGCAACGGTGAACGGTACATCCCCTGCTCCTCCATCAGCACCGGCTCCCAATGGAACGGTCAACGGTACATCCCCTGCTCCTCCATCAGCACCAGCTCCCAATGGAACGGTGAACGGTACATCCCCTGCTCCTCCATCAGCACCGGCTCCCAATGGAACGGTGAACGGTACATCCCCTGCTCCTCCATCAGCACCGGCTCCCAATGCAACAGTGAACGGTACATCCCCTGCTCCATCAGCACCGGCTCCCAATGCAACAGTGAACGGTACATCCCCTGCTCCTCCATCAGCACCGGCTCCCAATGCAACAGTGAACGGTACATCCCCTGCTCCATCAGCACCGGCTCCCAATGCAACAGTGAACGGTACATCCCCTGCTCCATCAGCACCGGCTCCCAATGCAACAATGAACGGTACATCCCCTGCTCCTCCATCAGCACCGGCTCCCAATGCAACGGTCAACGGTACATCCCCTGCTCCTCCATCAGCACCGGCTCCCAATGCAACGGTCAACGGTACATCCCCTGCTCCTCCATCAGCACCGGCTCCCAATGGAACGGTGAACGGTACATCCCCTGCTCTATCAGCACCGGCTCCCAATGGAACGGTCAACGGTACATCCCCTGCTCCTCCATCAGCACCGGCTCCCAATGGAACGGTCAACGGTACATCCCCTGCTCCTCCATCAGCACCGGCTCCCAATGGAACGGTCAACGGTACATCCCCTGCTCCTCCATCAGCACCGGCTCCAAATGCAACGGTGAACGGTACATCCCCTGCTCCTCCATCAGCACCGGCTCCCAATGCAACGGTCAATGGTACATCCCCTGCTCCTCCATCAGCACCGGCTCCCAATGGAACGGTGAACGGTACATCCCCTGCTCCATCAGCACCGGCTCCCAATGGAACAGTCAACGGTACATCCCCTGCTCCTCCATCAGCACCGGCTCCCAATGCAACGGTCAACGGTACATCCCCTGCTCCTCCATCAGCACCGGCTCTCAATGCAACAGTGAACGGTACATCCCCTGCTCCATCAGCACCGGCTCCCAATGCAACGGTGAACGGTACATCCCCTGCTCCTCCATCAGCACCGGCTCCCAATGGAACGGTCACCGGTACATCCCCTGCTCCTCCATCAGCACCGGCTCCCAATGCAACGGTCAACGGTACATCCCCTGCTCCTCCATCAGCACCGGCTCCCAATGCAACAGTGAACGGTACATCCCCTGCTCCATCAGCACCGGCTCCCAATGCAACGGTGAACGGTACATCCCCTGCTCCTCCATCAGCACCGGCTCCCAATGGAACGGTCAACGGTACATCCCCTGCTCCTCCATCAGCACCGGCTCCCAATGCAACGGTCAACGGTACATCCCCTGCTCCTCCATCAGCACCGGCTCCCAATGCAACAGTGAACGGTACATCCCCTGCTCCATCAGCACCGGCTCCCAATGCAACGGTGAACGGTACATCCCCTGCTCCTCCATCAGCACCGGCTCCCAATGGAACGGTCAACGGTACATCCCCTGCTCCTCCATCAGCACCGGCTCCCAATGGAACGGTCAACGGTACATCCCCTGCTCCTCCATCAGCACCGGCTCCCAATGGAACGGTCAACGGTACATCCCCTGCTCCTCCATCAGCACCGGCTCCCAATGCAACGGTCAACGGTACATCCCCTGCTCCTCCATCAGCACCGGCTCCCAATGCAACAGTGAACGGTACATCCCCTGCTCCATCAGCACCGGCTCCCAATGCAACGGTGAACGGTACATCCCCTGCTCCTCCATCAGCACCGGCTCCCAATGGAACGGTCAACGGTACATCCCCTGCTCCTCCATCAGCACCGGCTCCCAATGCAACGGTCAACGGTACATCCCCTGCTCCTCCATCAGCACCGGCTCCCAATGCAACAGTGAACGGTACATCCCCTGCTCCATCAGCACCGGCTCCCAATGCAACGGTGAACGGTACATCCCCTGCTCCTCCATCAGCACCGGCTCCCAATGGAACGGTCAACGGTACATCCCCTGCTCCTCCATCAGCACCGGCTCCCAATGGAACGGTCAACGGTACATCCCCTGCTCCTCCATCAGCACCGGCTCCCAATGGAACGGTCAACGGTACATCCCCTGCTCCTCCATCAGCACCGGCTCCCAATGGAACGGTCAACGGTACATCGACAACTGCAATAGCTGCATCAACAGTGCCAGTGTCAAACGGCACATCTCCACCAACAGTGTCCAGCACGACCACCACAACATCTACAGCTACCACTGCTGTACCAATCAAAGTGTATCCTATTTTTTTTAAAATTGTCAATCAAAAATTTGACACTGCTCTGAATGACAACAAAAGTCCTGCTTACAACGATCTTGTGAACATTATCGTACCACAGGTAAGCGGCGCAAATTCACACGGGATTGCGACCATGTTTGCATCGACATATTTGGCTGGAGCTTAAAATCTATATATATTAATTTACCCCCGACATTCATGTAGTAGAACACCCTCTAGTCTATTTCCTTGTACTCTGCCATTCATTATCCATTAAAACTCCTATCCCATGTTGTGGAAGGGGTTACTGCTTGTTTGCAAATTATTCACGGAGAAGTAAACATTTTTGGAAATTCATGCGATTCAAAATTTATTTGGAGATGAGCAGAGTAACTTCGCAGGTAACATTGTGGATAATAGAATCTACAAAATTCCTCGCTGATATCACTGCAGATAAGGTGAATTCTACAGGATTTAACAATTTACTGGCCTCGCCACCCAACAAACCCGCGTTGGGTGTATTATTCTTATATGTAATCACGTTCTGCTCCCATCATATCCACTGATAGATTTCTTTGATATGACGGCATTGAAAGTAAATGAAACACTTTCAACACCTGGGGACTGTGGGGTCATTTGACTCATTTTGCTATCTTTAATTCGTTCATTAGTGTTTTTTTTTAAATATCTGTTTAGATTACACTTGTATCTCCTGCATCTTTTGCATCATTGATCACTTTGAAGGCCCATGGCCTGTTTTATGCATAACCAAATGTAAACTCGTGGATTTGACAAATTACAATTATTATTTTTTCTATATACTGGATGAAGTAACCATGAATTGCATTGACATGTTAATCCTTTCCCTTAGCTTGATGTGGTGTTCAGGAACGCCTACGGAAAAAAATTCTCCAGAACCCGAGTTAATGGTTTCAGGTATGAATTGCTTATTTTACGCTATATAACTAATGGAAATCTGGTATTGTTACAAAAGGTACCATCACTTTGTCAAGTAAAAAGCTAAATCTGCTGCATATTCGATGTTTTTTAATTATTGCTGACATTTAATTTTAAATGAATACATTCGCGATACTGTAAAATTTTAGGATTTTTTTTTCCTTTGCACTTTTGATGTCCATGAGACAAATAATACGAAATCTCAAGAGCAACGTGATACCATGTGTCCGTAAACCACTGCAAGAAGTTTCACCATTCCCAAAATATCCTTGGTGGCCTTTTCACACTTTCCCATATGCTGCTATGTGATTGTCACCATGGGAGTCGACCTGATATTTTAATTTTTAGAGCTGCAATTTAAACTAGATTAAAAATTACGGATTTTTTTACTGCATTTATTGGTGACTTGGCTGAGATCAGCAAGCTCTACACTTGAACCCACCTTGATTATGGATGGTTGAAACCTAAATTTGGACCCAGGTCCTCTCCAGTGCCAACGTGGTACTTTAATCTCTAAGCCACCTGGCCATCTCCATGAAACACAATTCCAAATGGTTCATCTACATGTGCGTGTACTGTATTGTGTTTATGATTTTTAAAATGTTTTTTTAAACTGGGCGGTTTGCTTATGTGATCAAAATTAACCTCAAACTGTGTATTTTGTTCCTGCAGTAATGGTTCGGTTAACGTGGATGCTGTAGCAGAGTTTACCAATCAAACCGCACCAAACGAGGACAATGTACTGAGGACATTTGTGAATTCCTTGGAAAACTCTTCAATTCCAAATTCAACACTGCAGCTGGAACCCACATCTATAAATGTGTCAGGTAAAAAATCAACACTGATAATGATACATGTAAAAAGAGGTATATTATGCAGCAAAACATAACAGGATAACTGCTGTCATCCTTGTTAAGACGTCCTTATCTTATCCTGACATTTGTGCATTTTTCTGACAATTGTATTATTGGCAAACGAAAGTGCTATAATTGGCAGTGTTGCTCATTGCCCAAAGTATTTTTTTATAAATCTGGTTGTGGGTAATATGTAATAAATACAATATTAAACGATAACTTAGATTTACATAGCACATCTGGAGGTTGTAGAAAAACAATGATATATATCAAATACATGTGTATAAAATAATCAAAATTAACCTAGGAACTTGCCAAAGTGAGCACACATGTGAAACATGAAATATAAAATATGGTAAAAATGTTATTCTAAGATTTAAAACCAAATTGCAACATCCGGCCGCATGAAGTCATTGACAAGCTTGTTATTAGACATCAAAATGTGAAATGATTATCGTATGGGCCCAAAAGACTAAATGGGCCTTTTGGACAAATGTTCTCAAATGTTTGAGGTAGCAAAGTCAACTTCAACCTTGTCAGTCTTGGTAAATTTGTCAGTCATGGTAAATTTGTTTAATCAAATCGCAGAGATAAATTGTGGAAATGACGTGATGAGCGTGGCTAAATATATAATGGCTGAAAAACATTCTGAATGCATTTTCAGACGAAATAATGTAGATCCTCGAAATAATTTCAACGCTTTGTTATAATTAATTGTACAAAGCATATTTTCCTGCTTCACTGCTGGATATGGGGCTCCCCATGACATGTGGGCTGTCGGGGTTATTTGCCCATACTTCACCTTGCTGGTCAGTCCAAATTTGTGAAGAGTGCATTGTGTACTGTCTTGTTAAGGTGAGCAAGGAGATCATGAAGGTATAAAATGGAGTTGTGCAAGTCCATTTTTTGTCATTGCACAATGCCAATAGGTTGTGTTTTTTGCCAAAGGCCGATTTCTAAAATTTGCCTTCCAGATGTCACGCTCGCCACTCTGCCGCTGCTCAAAGTAAACATTGCCTTCCTCGCATTGAACAAGGTCTACAGCAGTGCCATGAGCAACACCACCTCAGCTGAATACGCTGCCCTCGCCACTCCGATCACACAAGAGGTGAAAGCACCCACAAACGCACTACACTAAAACTTACTCAAGTACTTTCTTGAGGCAACCAGTGTGCTTTGTTACATGCAGAACAATAAGCCTTTTTTGGCCTTCCCCCAAAAATCGAATGTCCACCAACAGGCCTGCCTCCTATGTCTGAAAACGATACTACATTGACCCGAATCCATAATTTGGCTCCTAATTCAGTTGCACACAAGCGACCAAGATCACAGTGGCCTGTTTCGAGATACTCTTTGGGCTTGTCCCAGCCACCATTCCCCACTCATCTCACTCTTCATCTCCCCTGTCAAAATAACATGTGTCGTTGTGGAGAATATAAGTAACAAAATAAATAATTGTACTACCTGCTTTTATATCTGTCTGTCCACAAAATAGTACGTTCATCTTTGCACAGCTCAGCCTTCTGGGAATGCATAATTCCATTCCCTCATTTCGCGCTTCTCATTCACGTACTCCGCTGCAATAATTGAGGCCTATATACAAATTTTCCAAGTCAACTTTCACTCGATGGGAGGACTCTGCCTCTGGCCATCTGCACTTCCTGGGCACCTGCCCCAATTCTAGTCCTGTATCAAGACGGTCTTCTTCTCCTCTGCATACGACAGTCTCTCCACAAAACTTCTTCATTATTTCACCACAATGTCATTTTTCATTCTCTTTCTGGCTTTGTGCTATTTTACCCTCTTTTACGCTTTCGAGATGGGCATGTTCCCAATATTTTGTAAATCGTTTTGATGTGGTTACATTTTATGTTTTGTAAATCCAGAATGTATTGCAAAAAATGGAGTTGACGACTGAAATTCTGTCAATCTAAATGCCTTTTCCCCAACAGGTGCAGAATATGTTCAACAGTTATTCAAAGCAACCAGTTTCAGTGGTGACCACATTTTTGTAAGTTTTTTTTATATTCCTTGATCTGAAATGTAACTTGGTAAATAATAATTAAAATAAGTGCATTTTAAGTATTTGTATATATTCACAGGCAGACCTCTTAACGTTCAAGGTGCATTCCTGGAGAAGTGTGCGCAGATCGAATTGTTGCTTAAAGGGATCCTCGTACCATTTTTGTAATGTATAGGGATGCGTTTTCGACCGCATTTTTTTATTTTGTCTGAGCAATATGAGGGCCTCCATTGGGATATCGTGAATAGAGCTCCTAATAATACACGGTAAGCATTTTATAACTAAAGATAATAATTTATTATAATAACAATAATTTACTAAGGAGTACATTCTACTGTACTACAATGTATAATGAAGGGCAAACAAGGTTTGAGCAGCTGCACTCCCAATATGGGTCTTAGTGATGCCCTTGGTCCAAAATTTCAGTGGTGATTATTTTAAAGTGGAGCCTGAGACTATCCTGGTCTCTTTGAGTTCCACCTGGCTAAACACGCTGTAAAAAACATTGAGGATACAAGTAATTAAGTTATCGTAACCATGAATTGTGATAATTTAATCACGGTGGGTGGGATTCTGGTTGGCTCTGCTTACGTCGCTCATAGGCTGAGCAAATGATGGGGGTGGGTGCCTTCCTTGGCCGGTGCTGCTATGTTCCCACTCCTAAGCCCTTTTAATAATTTTTTTAAGTGCATTTTATCTCAGGACAAAGAGCAACTATAATGAAACTGCATTCTTGTAGGGTCACGCTGAGGTCTGCCTGTATAGAGATATATCAGCAAATCCATTCTTTAAATGTTTAAATTTCTGTGGCAATTGATCCTGAATATGAAACGGATTTCTCTTGCAGGGACGCGTCCGGTGTGGTCGGCGTGACCTCCATAGCATCATTCAACACCACGAGCGTCATCCCGCCTGTAGACGTCTTCAACCTTCTGCGTGTCAAGATTGACACCAACTCTCAATTGGCTAGCACTGGTGTCTACGTTGCAGAGTCGTCCATAGCCATCGATGGTAAAGACTTTTATTTCTCCAGCAGTAGAACACACGGCCAGTCGCATGGCTACATAGTGCCAGAATTGTTTTGCCTGCGGTTGTGCAAAGGCATTTGTGGAGAGGATTGGACACCAACAACCAAACCTAACTAAATGTACTTGGCAACTCCAAGCTGCTGTTGATATCTTGTCGCTACACAAGGATAACTATCAAGCTCGCGTATCTGTAGGATCTTGCTTTAAATTAATCGCAAATAGGATTGATTAGCAGAAAACTCGTGCTCAAAGTAGATGCAATAATTATAATCTGTGTCTTCTCCCCGTATCTCTTCTTCAGGTACCAAGCCCTACAATGTGGTCCCATTGGTGATGACGATCAACACCCCGTTTGTGGCCAGTCTGGCTACCAGATCAACCGCTGAATACAGCGACCTGAATAGCAAATATGCGGGAGAGGTTGGTGATCTACTGAACATTATATAATGCATTTATTTGTCTGCGTGCCTCCACTCATTGATCCTTTTTAGATGAGGGTCCTGTATTATGTTTGGCCAACTCCAGAACAACCCACCATGTGGGGTGGTGGGAGAGGGCTAACGCTCAAGCTCTACATGAATTTGAGCATTGTTGTACAGGCATCCCTTGATTTACGAACGTTCACTTTATAGCATTTTGCGTTTGTGCCCTTAACAAATTCCGGTTACTTTTCAACGAACGAAATCGAATTTCCGAGCAAACGAATTTTCACATGGTATGCGCCATTTTAAATTATACAAGCACCTGGGAGGCACCGTTGTCCGTCTGTCAGACTGGTGTCACGGTATCCCGACAGTGCAACAGTAATTCCTCCATCAATTTTCCATTAATTCCAATGTGCAGATCTTTTGAGTTTACTGAAAAGGTTATTTTTTTATTAATTGTTTTTCGATCGTATTATTATTTATGTACTTTATATTATTGTATAGGGAAAGTAATCGGTGTTTTTAGGTTGGGAATAGGAATGACTGTCCATAACACCCATAATTTGAAGTTTTAAATGAATGGGAAAAGCCATTCCGATTTACAAAATCCTGTTTTATGCATATTTTTTTTAATGACTGGATCACTTTTATAAATCCACGGATACCTCTACCATCATCCGCTAGTCACCTTGCAGCATAATCCTACACCTGAGATTCTCATGCATTCTCCCATCAAGTACTAATCGGATTCAAGGCTTTTTTAGCATCTGAGATTTGAGAAAAAAAAGTACGAGACCTGTCCCAGGAGTTGCGAAGCAAGGATACTGTAAGATTCGTAAAGTTGATTTGTCTTCATTTAAAAGGGTTGTTAAAAAATATATATTCTGAAATATTTTTGAAGACAATGATAAGCCCACTGATGAGGTTTCAGAATGATTTCCCAGACAGAATCAAGTAGTTCTAGATTTAAAGCTTTCGTAACTGCAAGGATCCATACTCTTTGGTTCTATTCGGTAAAGTCACGTAGGTAAATATTATTATTTAGGTTGAGTTGCTTCACACCTAAAACGTACATTGTAATCTGGAGAGTGCAGTATACATTGCTGTGTCCATTGCAGCAATCGGAGTTTGTACTGTGGAGTGTAAAATGCCCACTAATTTGTCTTTTTTTGTTGCAGCTGAAAAATGTTCTTCTTAACAAGTATGGGCCTAACAACCCACTGTTACTGGACACAACATTCAGGTTGGCTTGTGTGATGTGCTTTAATACCTACTGGGTGGTTAGCTGCTCGTACTCGTAGAAACGGTCCTACCACATTGTAAAGAAATGGTATACTAATTGTCAACACCTGTGGGTGGGGCTTCTTGTATACCAGAGTGGGTGGCCCAACTGGGGTTTACGCAATGCCATACATCTCAAACGAACCATTACAATTTTGTTTTTATGAAGCTTGTAATTGTGAACTTATCTCCATATGCTATAAAATAAAACTAGCACATCTGGAGAAAATTAAATGGCGGGGGAGCGGGGGTGGTTTGCTGATAGTTTTAGAGTAGGAATTACTACAATGGTGTAATGGTTAAACACTGGACTTGCAGTCCAGACGTCACTGATTAATTCTCTCAGAACGGCAGTTAAAATGATGGTGCAAATTTTAAATCCTTCCCCCCCCCCCCCCCCACAGTATAAATGGGTGCAACAATATTTTACCGCTCCCACTGCTTGCAAGACCATCTGGCCAGTCTGGAAGAGTAGTCCAAAATACCCTCCTAGATGGTATTGCTCCCATTTCTTCTGCTAGCAGTGGTGTGACCAAGCACTTGTAGGGCCGCACCTTCAGCAGAGAATGGGACATTTGGTCCTATACTGAATAGAAGTGTTTTTAACCTGGATTGGACGAGACGATGATCTCAGCAGTGTGGATGGCCAGGAAAATAAATTCCAGACTCTGCATATCGGCAAAAAAATGTGTGACATCCCAAACCACTTTGAGCTGTTAAAATATAACTTTACTTTTTGTCTTTCCAGTGACATCCCACCAGCAGTGCAGTCTTTGACCAACATTATCTTCAGTTCCGACATTGTCATTAACGCCACAGAACTTCGCTCCCTCGTTGAAAGTGATATCGCATTCCCAATGCAAACCTTTGGCGGGTCTGGTCTTACAGTGGATGCACAGACACTCTCTGTCGACGGTGAGCAGCTTCACTTTTCAAGTTCTTTTTTTGTGCCTTTGTCGCCATCGTCATCGTCAGCCATATCTGCCCATTATTGGATGAAGGCCTCTCCATGCCATTGCCGTGCCTTGTGGTCTGACAGCGTGACAATTTATCTGACCTTTTGCATAGAAGCTGATCTCATTAATAAATAATCCATCTCTTCAGTGGTTGTCTCCTCTCCGTTGCGCCGACTCCTTTTTTGGCTGCAATTTCCTTCAACAGTCTTGTCCATCTGCCACCTTTTCTGACTGTCTACCTAGGCCCACTTGCTTATCTTATGTCGGTGACGTGTTCAATTCGTCTTCCTTAAGCCATCTGTTCTTTCTGTCTCAATTTCATTCCACACTGCTTTTGTTTTCTTTTCAGGTTTTCAGTATTGTCATTGCCCATGTTTTTGATCCATGAATCATAGCTGGCAATGTGCATTGATTGAAAACCACATTCTTTGGGCACATTGGTATGCTGCTTTTCATCATAGAATTTAGTTTTACAACATACTCTATTCTGCTGCCATTCATATCTTTATTTCATTGCATTTAATTGACCTAAGATATGCATATTGCACTGTTTCCTAGTTGTGTATAATTGGTATATAAGCTATATCATAAATGGCATATAATGCTGGATGAATGGAATAATATGCAAAACACCTAGATAATCTGTGCATATTTTTTTGCAATTTCAGGTCTTGTGTCACCCTACGTCTCCCAGGCAATTCATCTCCGCATCATCAACAGGCAATTTGTCATCGACTTAAATGACGTCAACAGCGCCGCATACAAAAACCTCTCCAGTGAAGTTCAGCAAGGGGTGAGCAGAGTTAAAGTGCCATTGCCACATCCGGTTAATGCAGTGTTGAGGTGCCCTGTTACAGAAACAGATCCACCTCCGTGTTGTGGGTGTATACTGTGAAGAGATGCTCGCGACATGTGTGACCAAAAAATAATTTGAGTCTACGATTTTTCTCGCTTCAGCAATGTAACTGATTATACTGACAACGAAATCTTTAAATACAAAATAGCACCGAAACGGTAGGCTCGGCACTGAGACTGTAGCCCAAAAGTAACGGAGATTAAATATAGTTGGAGTACAGTAGGACTCCTCATATGTGATGAATTGGGTGGTAAACATCTTCGTTGATCCTATCTATAAACTAACCAATAATAACCTATTTGCAAAATAGGACGCCTCTCCAGCTTTCATAGTGTTCCTCTGGCTCTCGCCAAAACCCAAGTGTTTGCTATTTGTAATTGTAGACTGAACAATCCAATGCTATATAAGTTGCATTGTTCAGCACCAAACGGAGGGCTGCCTGGTATGTGTTTCCATGCAACCGGGGGAGATGCAACACACAACCGATAATCCACCAACCCAGGCAAGTTGAGGCAGCGATGAGTCGCTAAGAACAATACTGACACATCAATGACTTTGTTTTGCAGATGTATGCTGCAATCCATAGATTTCACAGCAACCTTCGAATTGTCACGATCAACCGTTTCAGGTACGTTGACCTTAAGTTGCCATCCTGCTCTTAGAGTGGCACAACCTTGAAATAAATGTGTGTTTTGGAGTATTCCAATGGTATATTTTAACCAAAGATTGGAAAGTTTGCTGGTCTTTCACATGAAGTTATTTTCAAAGTAAGTAATTCACAATCATTAAGACATGAACACATTGCAAACATACAATCTTCAACATCGTATTGCTTCCATATATTAATTGCCCATGACTAGTCAAATGATGCGGTTGTTTGGGCATATCTCTCCACCTTGCCGCCCTTGCCAAAAACCAACACATATCGTGAGAAGAATCTCATAGTTACTAGCAGAGGGGAGAACTACGTGTAAATGCATTATCCTTAGTGGTACATTATTACGAAACTGGTAAAACCTAGGACTTCTAATATTCTGGGAGGACTTAAAGATTTCCTGGGATGGCTATGTCAAAGAGGATGATCGTGGGAAAACTAGGACAGAGGTTATATTTGTCAGATCGATTTTTATAACCCATAATTGCATATGCCGATTCTGTGAAGCAGAGGCTACCATTTTTGAGTTTTCACATTTTTATTTTCCCTGTTCTAGCCCTGGCTCTGTGCTAGTCGAGTCGAATGCCACGTTTGTGGACGCCGCACCACTCGCACAGACGGTTTTGAACGAGCTGGTCGCCAGCGCAAGCCTTCCCAATGGCCTGCAGCTCGATCCCACAAACATCAGTGTCAACAGCGCCACACGTAAGTCCCTCGCCAAGCCTTGCAGCTCCCACCTGGTTGTGAATGCCCATGTTTCGGGGGTCTTTGATTGTTATTCAGGGTGTGCTTAATTTTACTCTGGGTCTCTCATCAGTCTTGCATCGCTTCTAACATAGTTTTCCGTTCCCGTGGACTTCCCTCACTGTTTCCTTCACACGTGTCGAGGAAGTCTTGCTCTACCAGACTTTTTGCCTCCATATTGTGTTAGACCACCATGTTGCAGGTCAAAACACTACTCCGCTTCTTCCTGCACACTGCTTGACCTTTGGAATTAGCTCCCATTGTCTCTCTTGCCACGTTCTTGCAACCTTACCCAGTAAACCCAAAAAAAATGCGTGGACTCTTATTAAAATTTTAATCGTGCTGTCACTGCATTAATGTACTCCTGCAAACTGTCGACCAAAGTAATCTGCTTGCAAGAGTTAAAATACTTTAATACAAAGTGCGTGTGGTATAAATACATACATACATACGTGTGTGTGTGTGTCTATATAAATTATTTTGCATGTAAAGTAAATGTTTTTTTTATCATTAATGTTTTGTGTTCTGTTCTTTTTCCAGCAACAACTGCGTCTACTACTGTAGCAATGGTGAACGCCACAGCCACTCCGTTGGCCAACGCCACGGCCACTCCGTTGGCCAACGCCACGGCCAACGCCACGGCCACTCCGTTGGCCAACGCCACTGCCGTTCCTTCGGCGAACGCCACGGCCAACGCCACGGCCGTTCCCTCGGCGAACGCCACAGCGAATGCCACGGCCGTTCCCTCGGCGAACGCCACAGCGAACGCCACGGCCGTTCCCTTGGCGAACGCCACAGTGAACGCCACGGCCGTTCCCTCGGCGAACGCCACGGCCAACGCCACGGCCGTTCCCTCGGCGAACGCCACAGCGAACGCCACGGCCGTTCCCTCGGCGAACGCCACAGCGAACGCCACGGCCGTTCCCTCGGCGAACGCCACAGCGAACGCCACGGCCGTTCCCTTGGCGAACGCCACAGTGAACGCCACGGCCGTTCCCTCGGCGAACGCCACGGCCAACGCCACGGCCGTTCCCTTGGCGAACGCCACGGTGAACGCCACGGCCGTTCCCTTGGCGAACGCCACGGCCAACGCCACGGCCGTTCCCTCGGCCAACGCCACGGCCAACGCCACGGCCGTTCCCTTGGCGAACGCCACGGTGAACGCCACGGCCGTTCCCTTGGCGAATGCCACAGTGAACGCCACGGCCGTTCCCTCGGCGAACGCCACGGCCAACGCCACGGCCGTTCCCTTGGCGAACGCCACGGCCAACGCCACGGCCGTTCCCTTGGCGAACGCCACAGCGAACGCCACGGCCGTTCCCTTGGCGAACGCCACGGTGAACGCCACGGCCGTTCCCTTGGCGAACGCCACGGCCGTTCCCTTGGCGAACGCCACAGCGAACGCCACGGCCGTTCCCTTGGCGAACGCCACAGCGAACGCCACGGCCGTTCCCTTGGCGAACGCCACAGCGAACGCCACGGCCGTTCCCTCGGCGAACGCCACGGCCGTTCCCTTGGCGAACGCCACAGTGAACGCCACGGCCGTTCCCTTGGCGAACGCCACAGCGAACGCCACGGCCGTTCCCTTGGCGAACGCCACAGCGAACGCCACGGCCGTTCCCTTGGCGAACGCCACGGCCAACGCCACGGCCGTTCCCTTGGCGAACGCCACGGCCGTTCCCTCGGCGAACGCCACGGTGAACGCCACGGCCGTTCCCTTGGCGAACGCCACGGTGAACGCCACGGCCGTTCCCTTGGCGAACGCCACAGTGAACGCCACGGCCGTTCCCTCGGCGAACGCCACGGCCAACGCCACGGCCGTTCCCTTGGCGAACGCCACAGCGAACGCCACGGCCGTTCCCTTGGCGAACGCCACAGCGAACGCCACGGCCGTTCCCTTGGCGAACGCCACGGTGAACGCCACGGCCGTTCCCTTGGCGAACGCCACGGCCAACGCCACGGCCGTTCCCTTGGCGAACGCCACAGTGAACGCCACGGCCGTTCCCTCGGCGAACGCCACGGTGAACGCCACGGCCGTTCCCTCGGCGAACGCCACGGCGAACGCCACGGCCGTTCCCTCGGCGAACGCCACGGCGAACGCCACGGCCGTTCCCTCGGCGAACGCCACAGCGAACGCCACGGCCGTTCCCTCGGCGAACGCCACAGCGAACGCCACGGCCGTTCCCTCGGCGAACGCCACAGCGAACGCCACGGCCGTTCCCTCGGCGAACGCCACAGCGAACGCCACGGCCGTTCCCTCGGCGAACGCCACAGCGAACGCCACGGCCGTTCCCTCGGCGAACGCCACAGCGAACGCCACGGCCGTTCCCTCGGCGAACGCCACAGCGAACGCCACGGCCGTTCCCTCGGCGAACGCCACAGCGAACGCCACGGCCGTTCCCTCGGCGAACGTCACGGCCAACGCCACGGCCGCTCCCTCGGCCAACGCCACAGCCGCTCCGCCAACGAACGCCACTGCCAACGCCACGGCCGCTCCGCCAACGAACGCCACGGCCAACGCCACGGCCGTTCCCTCGGCCAACGCCACAGCAGCTCCGCCAACGAACGCCACGGCCAACGTCACGGCCACTCCGCCAACGAACGCCACGGCCAACGTCACGGCCACTCCGCCAACGAACGCCACGGCCGCTCCGCCAACAAATAGTACAAGCACAGCGACCACAGTAAAAACATCAACTCCAACCGCCGGGCCAAACGTAGCATACTCTGTATTTTTTAAGATTGTCAATCAAGTCTTTTCACCCGATCTGGACAACAACACAAGTCCAGCTTACAAAACCCTTGAAAACAACATTGTGCAACAGGTAAACCATAAGAAAAACACTTTTGACCGTTTATACTACGTAGCTTTGCACGCGTGTGCCATAGCTCCCTGTTTTGTGGTTATACCACATGTTCAGGATGTCAGAAGTTGTCTGCTCCACATGCTTGGAAATTGGAAGAACCGAATTCGGTTCAACTAAATTGGGTTTAGTTCCTGAAGGAGCTCCCAGCACGTGGCCTAAAACAATGCACATCATGCCAAACACACCGGTACTTACATTTTATTTATGATAAAGATTTTTTGAACTGGGTTGCATAAATGTAGATCTGTCATACAGCCACCTCCACTTAATGCAGCCAATAAGTTTTTCACACAAACAAAATGTGCCAATTAGTTACTACTTCAGCACACTGTGTTAGAGACCAAACTCACAACATTTGCAATTGAGTGGTTTTGCTGTAAATTACAACCAGCATCAGGCAAATGTTGAAGGCGATGGAGACAGCCTTACGAATTGGCTGTCGGGTGAAGGTGGTTGTATGACATATTTACACGATCAAACCCAAAAAAACGTGTTTTCTCAATGGTTTAATTTTACCTGAACTTGTTTAGACTACTGCCAAATAATTCGAAAATTATAACTATGACACTGTCATATTTTGTCTTTTTGTGTGTTTAGCTTGATCAAATTTTCAGACAAAAGTACGGATCAAAATTCAGCAGGACCCTTGTCTTTCGCTTCTGGTAAGATTTTTTTGTTTCGTAGACTTGTTGCAATTTTTTTCACTTATGTTGTCCATGCAAAAGTTGAGCCATATTTAAGAAGAAAAAATGTCCAGAGGCTGGCTTGCCAGGTGTTTATTAGCAAGAGCATTCCATATAAACTACTTCGGCTTTAGCCAACACATGAAGAATGATGGAAAACTTCTGCTGATGAGCCACCGAAGGTCAAATGTTAGCGCTTATGCAAGCAAATTTTGGTGGATAATACTTTTGTCTGGAAAAGTCATAGGCTAGTGTACAATCTTATTTTATTGCTGTGGAGATGCATTTAGGGTTGGGGTTCATATTTAATTAACCATAATGCTCAACTGTATGATGGGATTATTTGAATTTTGTACTGAAGCCTTTAGGGGCTATTCTCATTTGTAATATAAATCAGAATCGGTTATCCGATTTTTTTTTTTTTTAAAGAAAATCTTTCCTCGAAAGCTTTACAACATCAGATTTCACTGCCAACCAAGATTTTGACTGAAGTTACCAATTGCGAGAGCCACTGCCACGGAGCTACCATGGGTTTTAATGTGGGCAACAAATCAAACCTCAATCTACTTGATTTTGCTTTCTCCACAGGCCCGGTTCAGTCAACGTTGATGCTGAAGCAATATTTGTGAACGACAGCCCACCAGTGAAGGAAAATGTGCTGAGGGCATTTGTGAGTGGCTTGGCTCCAAATGCTACAATTCCAAATACATTACTGCAGCTAGCAACCAGCTCTATCAACGTGTCTGGTAAACACTCGACTTCTTATCACACAAACATTTCTCCATCCCAAATATTCCACCATTCCTACTGTTTTGAAAAATGGCCTATCCAAATTATCTCTCAAACTCTATGGTCTTCTCTTTTTGCTGGTTAATCGTGTTTTTATGTTTTGGATCCATGTGGTAAATTACTGCGCCGTTGCTGTCCACCTGTAGTAGAGCCAGCCATGAAATTCCTTTACGTACATTTTATAAAATGCGTGGAACCTGAGAGCGGATTGAGTTAATATAAAGGTGAGGGTAATGTACACATACGTAAGAATGAAGCCTATAATTTTTCCACCCAGTTGAGTTTAAACCGCAATTAAAGTAAGTGCAAAGGGCAATGGTGAAGCCCATTTTTAAGAGTCTGCATAAATGTGTAAAAATGCAAGTGCCAGCAGCAAGCCACTGCCCTATTTATTGAATGACCTTCCAGAGGGGACATTTTACATTGGAACATGCCTTGTTGGTTGACATTTAGAAAATTCCCCAACTGGCCCCAATCCCCCCCACCTTTTCCACTTTGAACCATCATCCTGACCCATGCGACCACACCCATCGCAAGCTTTCTGCATCTTGGCTATCCACCCTGTCTTGTAAGACATTGCTGTAGAATCTTTGTTTTAATTATTTATGCAAAAGTAAGGCAGACATGCATTTTTTTAAGCACTTTTGAATCGAGCACTTTGTGCAGTTAAAGTTGAAACCCGTGAGATCTTGGCCACATTTTGTTTGCTTTCTGTTTTTTCATTGCTCGCTCAAATTGACTGCAGAATGTATGGAAGATTGGTGATATCATCCTGGCATGAAATTCAAGTTGCATATATTGTTTACGTTCTGTTGCAATTGGGGGGGGGGGGGGGGGGAGAAATGCTGACAAGTTTTGTTACACATTCCTTAGAAATATTTTCTCAATTTTGTACCTTGTCATCAGCCATTTTCTATCCCCACTGGACAAAGGCCTCCCTGAAATCCCAAATGTTTATGCATTTACTGCACATGCGCTGATCTCATCACTGCATTGGTCCTCCTCCCCTTATCAATAAGCCCATCATCCTTTCTTGCCATGGCCTCCTCAAGCCCATTTTTCTTGATGCGTCGGGCAAATGTCTACTATAATGTGCTGTAAATTTTGTCAAATAATTATTTGTACAGCTGTTCTTAAAATGTGAGCTCCTTTTTAAGGTTGCAATGTTAATTAAATATATCATGTGCGTGACTTTCAGAAATTATATTTCTTGTAACTTTTATTTTAATCAACAGCATTATATTCTTGGTTCTTTCGGTAAAGTCACATAGACTTTACCGCAAGAACCAAGAATATGAATCCCTGCAGTCACGAAAGCTTTAAATCAAAATTCAACAGCATTACGTAAACTCCAAGCTGAGAAATGATTCTGTGTATAATTGCATCTTGCACGTAATTATTCAGAATGCATTTACACTGATGTTGGATTTTAACACTTTGAAATGTTCTTGCAGATGCCACGATTGCCACTCTGCCACCACTCCAAGTAAACACTACCTTCCTCACGATAAACAAGGTCTACACCAATGCCTTGAATAACAACACTTCATCTGAATACCTTGGCCTCAGCAATCAGATCAACCAAGAGGTAAAGGCACCCACAAACGAACTTGCGCTAAAACGCACTCCAGTGCTTTTTCCTTGGGCGCGCAGTGTGCTTTGCCTGCAAAACAGTAGGCCTTTTTGGCCTTTGTTAAATATCCATGATGCCCGCACAGTAAATCAGACTATCGCCCCAGATCTATTCACTTGCTCACATACAAAAATATTGCCGTGGCCTTTTTGTAAGACTCTCCATGGGCTTGCCCCCAGCAACCTTTTCCTCTCTCATCTTGCTCTACTCTGACGCACTTTCCGCCACAATAATCAAGGTCTTCGGTGAACAAATTTACTTGTCAACATTCCCCCGATGGAAGGACTCTACCTCGGGCCATTTTGTACTCTGTGACCTTCCCCAGTTCAAGTCCACTCTTGAGATTTTCCTCGTCTGCACATGACTGTCACTGTCTATTGCAGCATCTTCATCCTAATGTCTACCACCACAATGTCGTCTCCATTCTCCTTGTAGCTTTTCAACTCCTCTTCCTCTGATCTGTTAAAAAAGACCTCCAATTTTCTTGGTGGGTGTGTCCCCTGTAGAATTTGTAAAATACAAAATTGTATTGTAAATAATGATGACTGTGACTAAAATGTACCCCCTCTCGTTTTGTTGTGAACCTCAATCCCTTTCCCAACAGGTGCAGAATATGTTCAACAGTTATTCGGTGCAACCAGTTTCGGTGATGACAACCTTCTCGTGAGTTTTATATTCTTTGACTGAAACGTACATTTTAGTGACTAAAAAATAAATCGTTTAAAGTATTTTTACCTACGTGTGAGTGTATATAGATTGAAAGATAAATTAACAAATCCATTTTAAACATAAGAGTTGCTGGAGCCATCGTTCTAAAACGTGAAACGGATTTCTCTGCAGGAACATTTCCGGTGTGGTCGGCGTGACCTCCATATCATCATTCAACACCACGAGCCTCATCCCACCTGTGGACGTCTTCAACCTTCTGCGCACCAAGATTGACACCAACTCTCAGTTGGCTAGCACTGGTGTCTACGTTAAAGAGTCGTCCATAGCCATCGATGGTAAAGACTTTCATTCTCCAGCAGTAGAACACGCGGGCAGTCACACGGCTACGCAGTGCCAGCATTGTCTTGCCTGCGGTTGTGCAAAGGCATTTGGAGGCGATTGGACCCCAAAAAACCAAACCTAATCAAATGTATTTAGCGTCTCAAGCTGCAGTAGATAGTGAGGGGAAAAAAGTATTTGATCCTCTGCTGATTTTGTACGTTTGCCCACTGACAAAGAAATTATCAGTCTATAATGTTAATGGTAGGTTTATTTGAACAGTGAGAGACAGAATAACAACAATTTCAAAAAAACGCATGTCAAAAATGTTATAAATTGATTTGCATTTTAATGAGGGAAATAAGTATTTTACCCCTCTGCAAAACATGACTTAGTACTTGGTGGCAAAACCCTTGTTGGCAATCACAGAGGTCAGACGTTTCTTGTAGTTGGCCACCAGGTTTGCACACATCTCAGGAGGAATTTTGTCCCACTCCTCTTTGCAGATCTTCTCCAAGTCATTAAGGTTTCGAGGCTGACGTTTGGCAACTTGAACTTTCAGCTCCCTCCACAGATTTTCTATGGGATTAAGGTCTGGAGACTGGCTAGGCCACTCCAGGACCTTAATGTGCTTCTTCTTGAGCCACTCCTTTATTGCCTTGGCCGTGTGTTTTGGGTTATTGTCATGCTGGAATACCCATCCACGACCCATTTTCAATGCCCTGGCTGAGGGAAGGAGGTTCTCACCCAAGATTTGACAATACATGGCCCCGTCCATCGTCCCTTTTTGATGTGGTGAAGTTGTCCTGTCCCCTTAGCAGAAAAACACCCCCAAAGCATAATGTTTCCACCTCCATGTATGACGGTAGGGATGGTGTTCTTGGGGTCATAGGCAGCATTCCTCCTCCTCCAAACATGGCGAGTTGAGTTGATGCCAAAGAGCTCCATTTTGGTCTCATCTGACCACAACACTTTCACCCAGTTGTCCTCTGAATCATTCAGATGTTCATTGGCAAACTTCAGACGGGCATGTATGTGCTTTCTTGAGCAGGGGGACCTTGCGGGCGCTGCAGGATTTCAGTCCTTCACGGCGTAGTGTGTTACCAATTGTTTTCTTGGTGACTATGGTCCCAGCTGCCTTGAGATCATTGACAAGATCCTCCCGTGTAGTTCTGGGCTGATTCCTCACCGTTCTCATGATCATTGCAACTCCACGAGGTGAGATCTTGCATGGAGCCCCAGGCCGAGGGAGATTGACAGTTCTTTTGTTTCTTCCATTTGCGAATAATTGCACCAACTGTTGTCACCTTCTCACCAAGCTGCTTGGCAATGGTCTTGTAGCCCATTCCAGCCTTGTGTAGGTCTACAATCTTGTCCCTGACATCCTTGGAGAGCTCTTTGGTCTTAGCCATGGTGGAGAGTTTGGAATCTGATTGATTGCTTCTGTGGACAGGTGCCTTTTTATACAGGTAACAAGCTGAGATTAGGAGCACTCCCTTTAAGAGTGTGCTCCTAATCTCAGCTCGTTACCTGTATAAGACACCTGGGAGCCAGAAATCTTTCTGATTGAGAGGGAGTCAAATACTTATTTCCCTCATTAAAATGCAAATCAATTTATAAAATTTTTGACATGTGCTTTTCCGGATTTCTTGTTGTTGTTGTTGTCTCTCACTGTTCAAATAAACCTACCATTAAAGTTATAGACTGGTCATTTCTTAGTCAGTGGGCAAACGTACAAAATCAGCAGGGGATCAAATACTTTTTTCCCTCACTGTATCCTGTAGATACACAAGGATAACGCTCAACCTCGTGTATCTGCAGGCTCTTGCTTTAATTGAATCGCAAGTAGGATTGAATTCGGCAAACTCTTGCTCAAAGCAGATGTAATAACGATTTGTGTCTTCCCGTGTCTCCAGGTACCAAGCCCTACAATGTTGTCCCATTGGTGATGCAGATCAACACCCCGTTCATGGCAACTCTGGCCAACCGATCCAGCGCCGACTACGGTGCCCTGAAGAGCCAATATGCAGGAGAGGTTGGTGGCTCCACTCCATAGTGCACCCCTAAAATTGATTGGTATACTTAATAAAATTTGCCACGTTAATGGGGTTGCTGCTGCAGTGTAATGGTGTGAGCGTACTGGATTTGTAATCCCGGCATGGCAATTGATGTATCGGGTAAGTTTCCAAAATCCCCGCGCCTGTCCACCGAACAATATAAATGGGTATGCCAGTTGATCAGCAGGTGATTTATATGGTAGAGTAAAGTGTGGGTATCCCCCACCTCCTTTTCCACGCTGGTCATAGGTCTTGAGAGTAAGCCAAATGCACTCTCTGAGGAGCAATTTTGTCTTTAGGCCAACAGTGGTGTGAGGTAGGAAAATGAATGCTATGTCAATTATAAGATAACTGATTTATTATCAAATAATACATTTGCAGCCATTTATCAAGCCACTGCGAGACAAAGGTCTCCACACACGTTATTGGTCATGGGGGTGGAATGACCATACTTCACCATTCTGGTCAATGCAGAAGGTGGTGAGATAAGGTTCATATATTGCTCGTCACCATTTATGACACTGCTGCAAAGTGACCATGAGTTGTCTTTTTCATTGTCTTGTTTCAGTTGAATAAAATTCTGCAAACGAAGTATGGACCCAACAACATTCTCCTGCTGGACACAACATTCAGGTCGGTTCCTGTTATGCTACCAATGTAAATAATGTGAGCGGGTGTTATTACAGCACAGGAATATGGTATCGTATACCTTTCATCGTTTGCGGAGGTGTGAGCAGAACACAGGAATGCTAAATACATCCAAGTAGTTTGGGTGGGGGGGGGGGGGGCTCAGGCCCCTTTGCTGAGGCTCTCTGCCCCTGTTCTCACTTCTCTAAATCAGTTCAAGTTCTTGGTACAGCCTTTCCCTTCTATATATGGTGTGGGAACTGCAACGGATGCATGACAAAGCAGATACTTCTTCTTTGGTTCTTTCGGTAAAGTCACGTAGAATGAGAATAAAATAATAAAATAAAATTTTATTGTGTTTATTTGATTCTCATTCTACGTGACTTTACCGAAAGAACCAAAGAAGATGAATCCTTGCAGTCACGAAAGCTTCAAATCGAAAAGCAGATACTCATTCCGTTTTGGGGTTTTTTAAATTAATTTTGGATTGACGATGTCATGCCCCCCCCCCTTTTAAACAGGAGAATGTTGGCGGCCCCCGGCCGCCAATATTCTCTAGCTCCTGCGAAGGGCTTCTCAGCCCTTTGTGCTTCCGCCCATCGCCCCCACTGATGTCCTCTTCTCCCCCCCCCCCCCAATGTGTGCAGATAGTACTGACTGTTGTATGTAAGGTGTGTAGGCATATATGCCTAATAAAAGAAATTTATTCTTTCGTGGGGGTTGACAATTTTTGTAACCCTGTTGGATCAACCTTTTACCCTCCCACCTCTGGGGGGGGGGGGGTCCACTTTGTATAACTTGTTTATTTCGACCTTCTGAAAGGCTCTTATTTAGTTGATGGACAAATGGAATGCCGATGTGCATCGATGTTAATTCAGGATGCACTACGCCCAGCTGCACTGTTAAAAAAAAACGGCTGAACGGCATATAATGTTCATGTAACTGATTTTAAAATAAATTCTTATACTTGTGAGAATTTTTTTTTAATTATGCTTGTTAACAAGAATTCTTTATGCATAATCACAGTTGGGTTTGTGGTGTGAAACCATAGACAAAACCAATAAAAAGATGGTAGAAACCTAGATGTTAAGATTACATCTTTCAATAGTTAATGATGAAGAGCGCTAATGCCTACTTTTAATGAAATGTGAATTAATTTTTTTCTCCTAAATTATAAAGTTGCGGCTGTTTTTTTTTTATTTTTGTCTCTCCAGTGACAGCCCACCGTGGCTGCTGTCTTCGACTGATGTGATCTTCAGTTCAAACACCACCGTGAACAATACAGAACTTCGTTCCCTCATTGAAAGCACCACCGTCTTCCCAGAACAGACCTTTGGAGGGTCTAATCTCACAGTGGATGTAACGACGCTCTCTGTTGCCGGTGAGCAGCTATGCTTTTCGTAGTTCTTGGTTTTTTTTTCCCTTCACACTTTAATTTAAGAGTTGCTGCCATGGTATTTGATTTGGATGACACACACTTGACCTGCGATCCAGAGGCCACCGGTTTGAACTTCTGATGTTAAAATAATTGACACTTTTTTTTAAAACCTGTCGCCAATCTGCCGCTGTTCACCCAGCAATAGGATTGGATGTACCACAGTTCATCGCACAGTGTGCAAACTGCTTCTCCTTAAATAACAGTACGTTTAAGTCTTAACACTGGGGTAAACGTGCATCCTTATTTGTTGCTCGCACCACTGCTGGTGGGAAGGGCTTTCATGAGAGGGGGAACTCGAGAGCCTTTTTATAAGAGGGTATTTTTGGCCTATTCTTCCACAATGGCCAGACCTTGTCAACGGTGAATATGCACATTTTACCAACACGTGACCAGCTGATCGACTAACTGGGGTTTTTGCATTAACTGCCCTGTCAGATGATCAAATCGGACTGGAGGTCTCTGGATTACAAATCCCAGTGTGCGAACAATTTTGCCACAGCAGCATTCCTTCACCACTGTTTCCCTTTAAATCCATTAAATCCATTGACACTTGGTAAATGCTGCATATAATATATATAATGTACAATGCTGGGACCATAATTCATGTAAATTTTAAAGACGAGCATTTGTATGTATGTATTTCCACCAACCTTTCCCTAACACGTGCAATTTTTTTTTTACTTGCTGTTTTCAGGCAACCTATCCTACTATGCCACACGGATGATTACACTCCGCATCCTTAACAGGGATTACTCTACCGACCTAACCAACATCAGCAGCATTGCCTACAAAAACCTCGCCAAAGCAGTTTGGATTGGGGTGAGCAGATAAAATGCACACTGGTACATTTTTCTTTCTAATAATAACATGCCGCCTCCAGAAATGCCTCGCCAAGTATCAAGACGTTTATGATAGTTTAAAATATTAAGGTACAAGGTACTCGATTTGCGTATTTTTTGTTAACCAATCGGATCTTTGTGAAGCCCTTGGTACTAAAACACTGGTATTCAACCTTAAGCAGCCATCTCAAACGGTAGGCGATGGGGAGCAGTTGGAAGCCACAAACTACAATTGAACCTTATGGCAGGACCCCGGGGTCCCATAAGCCCCCTGGCTCTCGCATAAACTGCGTTGCGACGTAATTTTATGTCGATTGAAGGCGAACGATACGGCAATATAGTCCTCTCATCGAGCTCTACATGATGCGCTAATCAAAGTTTCAAGTTTTGTTTACGACTACGGCAATTTTGGTAACGATGGGTGCTCGGTGAAGAACGAGAGGATTTATTTCTGATGGGTCGCGGCGTTCATGTGTGCAGTGGGACGGAGTCGCCAAAAATGCATTAATTATGCTTTTTACTTCCGATTATTTGGGGCCCCAGGGTCCTGCCATAAGGTTCAATTGCTGATCCATCCGTTCTTGATGTTTTGCAGATTAATGATGTGCTGAAACCAAAGCATAACAACCTGCAGTACATTCTCATCAAAGCCTTCAGGTATGTTTTAAATTACCAATTATACCCTTGGAGGAGCACAACCATAACATTTATTTATGGCGCATTTCCCATTAGCTGGAGACTGATGTAGGTGGATGTAAAAAGACCAGGTTTGTGAATGCCAATAGGAAATGACGGTTGCATTATCCACGAACAGGCGACCTGTAGTTTACAATGTAAGACGAATCCTTTTCAAACAACTGTTAAAAAAATAATCAAACAAGGGCTACTAAATGGACAGTACAATTTTATCACTTCATAAACCTTAATTGAGATTAGTTCTACATTTTAATTTTTACAAGGGGGTACCACGGTGAGATGTTAACTACTTTGCCTGGTATACAGGAGGTCGTGGGTTCGATGCCAACCCTTGACACCTATATATTTGGAGGTTGTATGTTCTCCCTGTGGTGATGTGGATTTTTCTCCGGGACCTCCGTTTTATTCTGTCCACATTTAGAAGCATGTATTTAGATTATTTTACTGCTATAAATTTCCACATTGTTAGCCACTTAGTTGAGCTAGAATTTGTGGCCAGGTCGCTTTTGAAAAATACCTATATAGTTCAGTGGGCCTTGCCTGGTAAAATAAAAAAAACATTTTGAGTTTTTAAGAGTGCAATTCACCAATGGCTGCCGAGCACAACGTTAATAAATTGCAATATGGTAATCTCCATACGTGATGTACACAGTGGACAAAGGGCACAATAGTTAGCCACCTGCACTGAATGCAATGGGACCCGAGTTATTCTCAACCACGGATAGCATCCGTGACGAGTAGCGTATCAGCTGTTCTTGGGGCCTCGCCTTTATGAAATCGACTTGCACAAGTATGGTTAAGCAACCTCCACGTCACGTGCATTACCAATTAACTGGCCACACCCAGCATAGCATTTGGTGTTCCTCATTTTTCAATGTACGTTCACATCAGCTTATGACCTGGTCCCCAGCCACTGGGGATATGTAACAAACTGTGTACTGATTCTCCTGAAGCAAAGAGGCTGCTGTTGTTGATTATTCACGCTCGTTTTGTTCCCTGTTGCAGGTCTGGCTCTGTGATAGTCGATTCAACAGCTGTATATGCAAACACGCCACCCTCATCGCAGGATGTTGTGAATGAGCTGACCGCCAGCGGTGTCTTGCTCGGTAACCTGCAGCTCGACGCCGCAGGAAGCAGCGTGGATGGCGTTGCACGTAAGTCTTTGCCGAGCCCAATCTCTTCCCCCCCCCCCCGTCCAGGCCCCTTTTTATCAAGGTTGCTGGGCCTATGAAATTCCGGCGGCGGCGGCAGCAGCCGTCTATTGGTGATCGGCATATCCCATCTCTTCCTGATGTTTCCCTATCATTCTTCACCGTGTATGGTGCATCCATCTTTGCATTGCACGGACTTGCACTCTGTTGCCTTCAACTAATGTTGCCAAGGCTTTACTGGGATACTGGTTTTTACTTTTCTCAAGTTCTTAGTTTGCAGGTTTGAGCCAAGTCAACCAGTGACTTTGCACATGCAAATACCTTTCCTGTTTTAAAAAATGTTTCCAGACGTTTTCCAAATTCCAGGTCTGAGAATGAACCCAGGTCAGACATTAATATTAAAAGCGGATAACAAGTTTCTGCCATGCACTTTGTGACTAGAAGTCAATTGTAGGTTTTTGGAGAGCCTACGATATCAGCTTCTGTGGGCCATTTCACAGAGGATTGAACTACTTTGTGAGATGCAAATGCTTATTGTCTCCTAAATTGATAGCACAGTTGAGATTAAAAATCTAGAAATGGCAAACAAAATGTAAGTGCATATAATAGATAATATTTGCACACCCTAATTGCATGACACAAAGCAAACGGTAACAATGAGCAGGGTTTTATACGAGTCAATTGTTACTTTAAAGATGCTTGTGCATGATGCATTATTCGAGTTAAAGGGGGCGGAGAGGTAAACACTGCTTGGCATGCTGCTCTACGAACCTGGTGACCCACCTTCGAATTGCAGCCACGCCTAACATCATTTGAAAGTGATATCGGATCCAAGCCTCCCCTTCTCTGCCCCATTCTTCGCCAATATTCACTGATCAGTGTTAAGTGTTGCAACAAAAAAATCTGCGCAGAACCACCCACATGGTGTTGAGAGCATGGTTGGAATGTTTTATGTACGTGTGCATGTGCCATTTGGTTTTTCTTCAGCAACGACCAGCACGACCAGCACGACCAGCACAACGGCCACAACCATCGGCAATCCATCTGCTGCCTCCCCAAACACTGCACTGCCGTGCAACCCCCAACTCCAGCGTTGCCAGTCTGTACCAGCGTGGGGAATCGCCATCATCATCCTCGGCATCATCGGCATTCCGGCTCTCATCCTGCTGAGCGTTCTGGTGAGAGCCACATGTTGATCCAGCACTCGCTAAAATTTGCTTCAGTGACCTTGTCTCACCGGCAATCTGTTGCCTTATCACATTCTCGCCTACTTCCACCGAGGTTGCAGTACCCATGGTCTTAACTAGTTGATTTCTCCACCTACAGACTATTTATTTAAAGGAGATCCACGTATCTTCTTGAGGCACTTTATCCAGCACTCCACTCTCTGCCGCACTTGGTCTTTCCCGTGCCCGCCGCACATGTCATCAGTTATCTACACACAAGCCCCGTGTTTGCATCACGCCCCCTTGTTTTATATCCTCTCTGCCCTCCCTCTCTCAAACTTTCCCGAACATCCCGCAAACTCCACCCAAGTTCTCCTATATACACCCTGCTGCCTTTTCTCCCTTTCTCCAATCCTCCTTCGGTCTTCTCCACCGCCAACGGTCTCCTCCACCCCTTTCCCTCGTGCCATTTTTATTTTTCATCTATCTCTTCGCACCTTTTTATTTTTATTTCCGGCACTTGCCGAGTGGCTGCCCGAGTGGCTGATCGGAGGGCTTCTGACTTTGCATGCTGCTGGCACAGCCCCCCCCACCCGGTCCGCTATCCACCGACGGCTCCATTGGTCGTCCTCTCCGGCCCTTTTGGACTATAATTCGTGAGGGCCGCCTCCTAAGCGGCCCTTTTACATTATTCTACCACCACCGCAGGTCGCATGCGAGAGCCATGTGCTCTTGCACACACACGAGAATGTTGCCATGCAGTAGTTTTAACCCCGCCGCCCGAGTTTGAGTCCCAGCCACGGCTAATCAATAGCGAGTCATATCGAAACTGGCGCCTCTGCCTTGTTTCACCAGCCCAGCACTGACCACCGTGGTGAAGTATGGTCAAACTACCCCCTCCGATGATACGGCATGGGGAGAGCCTTTAATCCAGCAGTTGGATTGCCCAGGTCTACAACGTTTGAAAACAATGGCCCAGGAAAGCAGTCGGTTCTCGTGTTTTTATCAAGAGAACGCCCTTCTAAGGACTTTGTCATATACCAGCTTCTGAGAGAACATAATAAGATCTTAAGAGCTGACAAAGCCAGGCATGTGGGCATGCATTCACCATGCCATTCTACCTAGACTTGACTTGGGGCTTAGTGGTTCTTGCTGTTTCGTTAGCCATTACATGTGATGTGAATTTTCGGGACAGAACAATGAATGTGTTCTGCCCTAACCTTGCAGTGATGGTGTCCTCCAGTGTTGCAGTAATCTCACAGATTTGCAAACTGCACGCATGGGTCTGTGCGCACACAATGCACTCCCAACCCATTGAGCTGTATTTCAGCTGTGGGCGTTCGTCCCAACATGTGCTTTTTTTAGTCGTGAGGTATTAGAGGAAATGAAATGTAGAAACCCGGTGTTTGTGCAGGGCTCGGAGTGAACTGCAGTGTTTGCTATCAATACACCCGGAGTGAGTGGCCGTTGGTCAGCTTTAAGCTTTTGTCAGGAGTCGGGCATTAAATGATTATTGCTGCTGAGATAATAACTGCTGTTAACACAGCCTCCAATCTGATAATTGCTGAAAAAATAAGAGCCACCACCTGGTTAAGTGGGGTATAATAAATAAATGAATCCCATTCTCGATCCACAGTGGATGAAAGCATAGACCCCTCCCCCCCCCCCACACCATGTTGGTCATGGAGTTGACCATACTTCACCATCCTGGTCAATGCGGTTTTATGTAAAGGGCAGGACCAGAATCTGATGTAATTTGCGACTGATTTGGGAAGTGCTTGCCAGCAGTGGAATGAGCAAGCAATTTCTGGACTGAAAACTTGACTTGTATTAATCTTGCGTGCTGCGCGGATTGTCCTAACTTATTACGATTGTGTTTTTTTTTTCAGGGTGCAAAAGGTCACCTAAAATTACCAAAGTTGACTTCCTACGACTTCAAGCCAAACCAATTTAAGTTTGGGGAAGGATATGATGTAAGCGGTTGACCACACAAGGACACATGCTCACGTGCTATCACATCAAAATACTCTACATGCTTGGACAATGGCAAAAATCACCTGTCCAGATATCAAAAGTTGGCTATCAAAAATACTACTACAGTCTGGCCCAGAGGGATCTGTGGTGGCTTAACACAAGGAATGTAATCGTGCATCAATTCGTCATTATGATAGAAATTTTACAGTCCCAATACATTGAAAATGTCCCTGTGTGGATCTATTTACAAGTTATGTGCAGACGTGAGCTGCTATATATAGGCTAATGGCACAAACGACTGTACAAATATGGGAGAAAAATTAAACGATACAAATGCAACTGAAAACAATACTAAAATGGTTTGCCCATGGAGTGAATTGTCACATGCCTATTATAACACGCGCATTTATCTTTGGAAAAGGTCCTGAATGATTTTTAAAAATATGCTTATAATAAAATACAGATGTTGTGAAATATCACTTTCTCTGGATTGTTTACATTTTCGCTAATTTTGTGCGCCCTGCTGCTCCATGCTGCTGTTTTCACAGACTGTAGGGACACACTATAGCTACCAAGGCGGGCCTTGAAGATGGGCCACTTTCGGACACGAGGAACCATCCCATGTGGACAACGAATGCAATATGTATTTAAGGGGCATGTCTGTAAAAAAAAAATATCTTTTCGTTTTTAAGTTATAATGGCATCGAGCGGTGTGCAACATGAACAGCCATGAGTTATCAGAATGAAAAGTTGGCTAAGTCTGGCTTGGACTGAATAGATGTAAATTTGAAATACAGTTAACCTTTCCAGCAAGAGGCATTTTGAAAATAGAGAAACGGTCGAGAATTATTGTAACGTACTGTTCTAAATGAAGGAACTTGATTTTATTAAATAAATTGTCACCAGGGTTGTGTATGCTATTAAGAATAGGCTGTGCAGCCACTGCCCATAAACATTTGTTTTAATTAATGGGAATTCCACGTTGCAAAATAGTTTAATCGATATACAATGTGTGGTTTTGAAATTTTTCATTGTTTGTCAAGGTAAAGTTTTAACCAGATGAGGTTTTTTTTTTATTTTAACTTATAACCGCTGACAATTTTAGAGCGCGCAAAATGTATTTTTTGTAATGCATCCAAAAAATACCATGCCAGAAAAGCATTCGCATTATTAATTCACTGAAAAAAAAGTTCACCAAACGTGTGGCGAGAACCTAATGTGTCTTTTAAAATATTGTATAAATTGTACAACATTTCCCTTCACATGCAGAGCAGTCGCTGTATGTAATATAGCCTCTAATAACGAAACGGCCTAAGACTTGGACGACCAAGCAACTGGAGTCTAATGAGGCATATATATGGATCAGTCGACAGGCACAATATTCCCAGCATCTTATTCCACCTAACGACAAACCCATTCTATACATCTAAATCGGCCCAAGCCCCCCTCCTGTAAATCACCCGACTTCTCTGTGTGGCTACCCTCCCACGTAGAATCTCTCCCCCTTTCCCCATCCCCTGTGGAAATGGACACACTGCTGCGTGCAACATTGAACTTCGTTTGCACCGTACGTAGCCAACCGTGCTCATTGGAGGTGCAAGGGAAAGACGACAAACTAAACACAAAGCAGTTCTAAAATGAATGCAGTTTTTTTTTCCAATCTAGATTTAAAAGTGCATAGCTCTAATGGCTTCCTAATAATATAATTTCTTGGCTTATTGGTCCCATGTTAATACTTTATCCCTTCTCTTATTTCCCATGGTCTCTCTTCCATTCATGTTCCTTTTTATTTAACCATATAATTACATCCCTTAGATTCTACTTCCCTCTTCAACAGTGAGCCACAGGTAAAAAGTTGCAAGTCAACCACAACCAGCTCACGTCACACTTATGAAAACCCAGTAAAGAATAGCCGTGCCGCACCGACGAGCATTTAAGCAAAAGTCGAATGACAAGATAGGAGAGGTGACTTCAAGGAATTGTGCAAATGGATCCTCTCGACTCTGTTAGAAGCCAGTGAATATTTAAATTTACATCATTGTTGAACCGTACAACTCTTACCCTTGACAACGTTGGGGAGGGGGTAACTTGGCAGAGTTTACCTGTAGTCTAAACACCTGGAACCATTCACTGTCGAGACATGCCTAACTTCCACAATGAATGCTATTTGGTGTTGAATTGTTTGTATGCGTGTGGTTTTTGTTGCTGCTGCCACGCCGTTTGACAGAACAGCGTGGGTAAAACGCCATTTTCGGATGCCTTTTTTCTGCCTTTGGCCATTCATTGCAAAGGGTCACATTTAGATTCTCTTTCCTAAATGAATAATTGAAAATTTTAATGAGCTTCCAAAATTCAAGCAACCGATGTAATCTCTTCATGTTCAATTATGTATTAATATAAGAATATTATAGTGTGCAGTATTAAAATATTTGTGGGTAATGAGAGTTGATGAAAACATTTATTTTTGTATAATGGCGATCTGTGGCGACTTCTTTGGGTAGATGTACTATGGTATGTATAAACATGTTTTAAAACTCATGCATTTTTTTTATTGGTGTTTCACAATGGTATAAATACATTGTTGTAACGGATATTTAAATTACTTAGTTCAACTTATTAAATGTACCTGAAGTGTTTTGGGATGAAAGCATGTATGGATTGAGACGAAAACAATACTTCTGTGTATACTGCATTGTACAAATAAAGATATTTTTAATTGTCGGTCGTTTCATTGTTTTTTATTGTAATTCTAATTCTTGTAAACTATACATTTGAATTCGCAGTCGCTATACATTTCTTTAGCTGGATGAAGGCCTCCCCCACTGCCCGTCATGCTATCTGTTTTTATCCTACTTCACCATCCTGATCAGGTGAATGCAAGTAAAAGGAGACCCAGGACCGATTTGGATATCACACTACTGATATTATCCATGGCTGGTTGCCGGGTTGAGAACAGTGCTGGCCACTGTTAACGCTCCATCCTTATATTTACCGTTTACTCAAACTATCTCATTGGAATTAAAACCTGGGTTCCTCGCCCTTCAACCTTCCCTGTCCAGCGTGGTGATGATGGATGCTCATCAAACGCCTGACGTACATAATGTTGGGAGGGCTTCGTCGGTGTGGGCGATTTAAAGGGTCCTAAATTAAATGAACGAACTGTGCCAGATTCCCAACTTGGTGAAATAACATGGATTAAGATTTACCCTGCTGTTGGCAATGGAGACGTGGCACATTTTCACCGTAATATGCCAAACACTTATCAGGAGACCGACTCCGTAAGGTATTTATAATTTAGGCTTAATTTAGAAGCCCTGTTTTAGCAGACCTGGGAAGACGCAAGACACACTTGTCTCCGTGCTCGCCTGTTAAAAAAAGCCCACTGGTGTCTGCCATGTAAAAAAAAAGCAGCAGTGAATAGAAGTGTCACAGTGAAACGTCTTTAGAGCCAAGTGCTTTTACAATCGTGGAAGGGTTTTTCATAGGTTTGACAATTCAAATGCCACAGCTGTTGAGAAACGCAGAACATTTCCGAAGTTTGGTGTAAAAAAAACATGTAAACTGGACCTAGCAGGGATAATTTTTTTGTCATCCCAAGTTTTTTTTGACAATGTGTGTATTGTAGTAGAAGTACCTGTTGGTGAGCTGCAAAACCAACAGCGTCAGTAAATTGTTCGAAGCAAGTCTGGCTTGTTTTTTAGTGGCGCGCAACCCGAGGCAAACATTATTTTTGGCTGAATGTCGTTAAGATGTTGATTCGCATCGCCATAGCAGCCTGCCCTTGGTTGGGTGTTGAATAAGCATCGGGTAGCAACTATAAATCAAGATCGAGGGTTGTAAATCCAGCTGTTGGCTTCCGGGCATGAGGTAATCCCACTCCTGCCCTTGGAGAACGGTCGGAGCGGACATCGGTTCACACACGCTGACCCATAGGGTTACGTAGAGGCCCACAGGCTCGCGATGTGTTCCCACTGCCTGTTCGGGCACTTATTTTATTTTCAGATTCGAGGAGATGGTGATTGCAACCTGCTAATGGCCAGTTTGGGACACAATGTATGGCAACTTCATTGCTTGCCGGGCAGTGAGCTGCCTCCTGGCTTCGCTTGACCACATCACTGACGAGGCGATGGCAGCCCGCCCTATAACAGAAAGAAAACCGAGCCCCAAACAGCTAAAGTGGCTTCGAAATTCATTTTTTTTTTAAAGTACAACCATCAACTCGAACTCAAATCCTAATGTATGTACGTATGTTGAACTTATTTCGCACCGTACGGAGCCAACCGTGCTAATCGGAAGTGGAGGGGGGCAACAAACCAAACACACACACAAAAAAGACGTTCTAAAGAAATGGGTTTTCAATCTAGATCTAATCAACATAACGAGGTAATCACCATTAAACAGCCAATTAACCTCATCTCTATCTTGTCTGCATCTCCCCGTGCTGTCATTTCAGAACATGAAAGGGGATATGGTGGAATGGTGGGGGGGGGGGGGGCATCTCTCAAATATAATTTCTGCTCAGGGCCCCCACACTACGGCCCACCAGGGCCACGAATCACCCGTCATCGTTGTTGAACGCTGTTCGAAAATTGCGTCGCTCAAAAAGGTGCCACGTGTTTGCTCTTTGACGCGCACGCCCGCTGTCCGGCATAGCTGCGTCGTCAGTGGTGGACATCGCGTGGAATTTAATTCACGTCGTGGGTTTTTTTTGTGTATGTGGACATCTATTGCCGGTGACACGCCGTCGGAGGGGTGGGAGGCGAGTGATGGGTCGAGAGCTAGGCCTCGACAAGGTAAGGTAAAAGGTAAAAACAACGAACCTACCTTTACCTTACTTTTTACCTTACCACAATACAATCACTCTACCCTACCTTTTACCCTTTAGCAGGTCAGGTAAAAGGTTAAAAGCAACGAGCCTACCTTTACCCGACCTTTTACCCTTACCCCATACAAATTACCCGATTACAGGGTAATTACTGGGGTTCTACAAATTAAAAAGGTTTATAACGGTAAACGCTAGGTAGAGCACTTTATTCATATAGAATACTCTCGATGATTCCAATTTTACATCCTTTCTTTAAACTCACTCTGTCTGTTGTTGTTGTTGTATCCTCAAATCTTGTAACTCAATCTTAACCCACTTCCCAATGTGGTATCGACTGCAAACTTGGAATACTTATGTCATACTGATGACAATACTATATTCTATCATTAAAAATAGATATTTTTAAACATTCTTTTTTATATGTTATGTTTCGTCTTAGATCTAATTGTCCACAGTCAACTGACGTTGGCTGTAAATCACCACGGGTCCCCTTACGTTACGGCAAGCTTCGGGGCCACTTCTTGGAGTCGTGGAATTCTTCCATAACTAGTACACTTCATAAAAGCGTGTTTTTTTTAAAGTTTTTTTAAAATATTACTCATTAAATGGAGGCCACGGACTGCGCCACGGAGCTTTTAGCGGTGAACAAGGCACCGTATTTACCGGGGTAATACTTCGCGCTACCTTTAACCTACCGGGTAATTCTTCCACGCTACCTTTACCCTACTACCCTTTACCTTACCCCTTGGCATGTCGACACTTTTACCCTTTACCTTGACACTTTTACTCAGTAAAAAGGGTAAATTACCTTACCTTGCCGAGGCCTATCGAGAGCCACGGAGTAACTGCGGGGGTGCACGCGGGGAACAACGACGACTCGTCCGTGCGCCCTTTTGCGCAATGCGTCCATTGGTGCGCTAAGGTTACCGAAAGTGTTGACGGGAGCGTTGTCGTGGATGCACGACACCCATTTTGTTGTCTGTTGTTGTTGTTGTTGCGAGGACGTTTTCTGTCGTTGCACCGTTGGAATTTTAAAAAGGTGACGGCGGTGGAGAAGTCAAACACGCGGGCCAATGCTGCTTCATTTCCACCGCTCTTCGAAATCGCTTCCTTCTCCTAGATCCCAATATGTTGCAACGGGGCAACATCTGACCTACCAACGGTGGCGAGATATCATCTCGCTTGCCTGGCATGCACGAAGGTCGTGGGTTCAAGCCCGAACCCGACGCCTGTACAAGTGTCTCTCTTTCTCTCTAACCCGTGGGCGCGTTAACTTCTCTCCGGGTCCTGTTTTTTTCCCTCCACATTCAGAATCAACCCACGTTTAGAGTTAGTTAGGCTGCCATGCATTGCCACGCGATACGCCACTTCGTTGGGCTCTCATTTGTGACCAGGTCGCTTCTGAAAAAGAGAGCTTCATAGCTCAGTGGGCCTTACTGGGTAAAACAAAAAAAATAGCTTAGTTTTTCGTTTTTCAACCTATGTTCTTGCAACCTCATCGCCACCACCGCCTTGGCCTTTAGGCTCACCCCCTTTGGTCAACGGCGCCGAGATGCCACTCCCAAAGGTGTCTCAGTGACCTACTCTCTCCTCCGACCGCCAAAGGCTAAGATCCCCCGTGTAGCCCCTAACAGACTTTTGGGGCCAAGTGCTGGTGAGCAAACACCTATGAAGAAGGCCGGGAAGTCACGTGACGGGGGGTGGGCGTGGCGAACCCGACGCCAGGCCACCTTTGTCTCCCGAGTGCTGATGTTTTGCACACAGCACAACATGTACTCATTTAAGGTTGAGTAGACCTAGGAGAGGCCCCAGGACCAATTCAGATCTGTTGTTGGCGGTGAGCGGGACTCGTAGTGTGGTGCGCTAACCACTGCGCCACCGCTCCCCATAAACGGGGTGACCACACCCAAGTCAAGCGCCTCTTCGTGGAAACATCGACAAAGTTTCCTTGCCCATTTTCCAATCCACTGAGTTTCTTCCCCTATACTTCCATCGCATTCCCTGTTGTGGCTCTGAATGCATCAGTGTTCACACGTGTCTCCAGTTGTTTTGTCAAAGTCTCTCTGACCCGCGCAATAACTAACATTGCTCTTAACCAAACACCTGTTTTTACACTAAAGCGGGCGTCTCGTCTTCCAAAGGTGTTCATATTGTCCATCAAACGAAAATACTTCACTCACGCAGTACGCCCTCTTGACCCGACTCACAACCCTAAACCCTCTCTGCATTGCACCACGTTTTCGAGATGGGCTGATCCGATTATTCGAAGTAACCGATGAATCCACCCGTTGTTCGTGTTGGTTTCTCGACTAATAGGATACCGCGAAAATAGTTGGTGGGTGGGGCGGGGAAATAAAAAAAAATCTCACCCCTGGTCGCCCACGTTGTGCCGCTGGACGGGAGGTGACGGGTGGGACTTATTGATGTCATAAGTAACATGGGCGTGGCTTGTCGGGGGTTTCCCGCCTTCGGGAGGCAGGATGTCGCGCAGCGGTCATATTTAGAGGAGCCCCGAGTTAATCGGCCGCAAACGACGTCGCCGTTTTCGCCTTTCAGGCGACTGATCGACTTTTAATTACTTCAGCTCTGTGCGATAATTACTGCCGAGCACGTCGAGTGTTCTACCAGGAGCACAATGCCTCCCAGTCGTGCCGAGATCCTTTGGGAATTATAGGAGAGGAAAAGAACTTCACTGTTCTCACGCCAGGACAGGCGACCTCTCCCCTCCGTGCCGTTCAGTGGCCGATCCACCACATCCCACCCACCCACCCCGCTCGCCCTCCCCTTCTCCGTTGCTGCAGTGCTTCAGGCAGCCGTCAGTCCCCGCTCCGGCATTCCCAACTCGCTCGGTCGCACATTTAGCAGTTGGGCCAAACACACGCAGACACGCACAGAC